TGGTCCTTACGGAGAGTTGGTGGGCTACCTCATGTACCTAAAGACTTGTACTCGTCCAGATCTCGCATGCCCTCTTAGCATCATGGCTCGCTTTGTGGCCACAGGCAGACACCGACCACAGCACTGGTCGACAGCTAAGAGGGTTTTGGGTTATCTAGCAAGTACATTGGGCATGGGGTTAGTGCTAGGAGGACGCAGGCCAGTGGTCCTTACTGGGCATACAGGCCCTTCTTGGGCAGACGACACTGAGACCCTCAGGTCCTCGCAGGGCTACTTCTTTAGCCTTGGTTCAGGTGCCGTCTCGTGGAGAGCTACCTGCTCCTCGTCTGTTGCCCAGTCCAGTTGTGAGGCCGAGATCTACGCTGGTGCCATGGCGGCACAGGAGCTCCGCTGGCTGACCTTCTTGCTCACTGACTTAAATGAGCGGCCTAGCTCTGCCCCGGTCCTGTACGCTGACAACAGGGCCATGATCCTCCTGTGTCAGGAGCCTCGACTTGAGGGCAGAGCGAAGCACATCCAGCTGCAGTACTTCCTCCAGCGCGAGCTACAGCAGCGCCGCCAGGCTCGCGTAGTACATTTGGCCTCCGGTGCCAACACAGCTGATATCTTTACGAAGGCGCTTGCGCGTAAAGATTATCAGCGACATTGTGTACAACTAGGTCTCGTTCATGTAGCCTCTCACTTGCTAGGACCTTGATTATGTACAGACCTTTATATGTATTTTACCCTGACTGGCCTTGTGGCCTCTCCCAGTGGGTGGACTAGCAGTGCCGCCCTGGTCTTGTTCTTGCCTTGGTTTGTACTTGTTTGACTGGTCTTTAGACCCTTGCCTCAGAGGTTGGACTAGTAGTGCCACCCTGAGCTGCTTGTCTCTCAACAGGCACTGCCCCTATCCGGTCCATTGGGTGTGTCAAACATATTTGTGTGTTGTGTTGTAGACCATATAGGGTTGTGTCTTAGAGAGTATAGCCCCCCTAGGTTATAATGCCTTGTACTCTCACATTCTAGTGATTCTTTCAGTTCAACATGTACTGCCCTCTAAAGTCTCGTCATTTGTTGGCGTTCTCATAGTGGCATTGGGGAACAGATAGTTGATGCCCAAGATTGTGAATGTTGTGGCGTAGTTCCAATATATTAAGTGACTGAACTGAATAATGTGCAATGGTATTATGTCCATACAATGCGTTTTGTTCTCCACCTTACCATGTCTTTCTTCCACCTCTTCAGAAATACATGGTAAGGTGGAGAACACTATGCATTGTATTGCTTCTATCCGTAATCACCCGGATAGACGCCCCTCCGTAGGATTAGTCCCATGGGCTCTAACTCGTGCATTGGGACTTATTCGATTATACGCCCCTCCTCTCTGCTCCGGGTCAAATCCCTATACGCCCCCCCCCCTCTTTTCAAACAGCATTTTAAGGAACTAGCCAAGATAGGCAAAATGCACTAAAAACATATTTTTTTAGACAGTTAGAAGTCATCCTATTCAAACCTAAACCTGGAATATGCAACACTTTCAGGCTAGCATTGCTTATCGCACATTACACCTACTACTCCTAGTCTACTCCTACTCCTCCTCCCCTTCCTCCTCATCCTCCTCATCCTCCTCATTCTCCTCATCCTCCTCCTCCTCCTCATCCTCTGCAGCCCCACCCTCAGCGCCTACCGAGTTGTCTCCAGAGAAGCCATCCGCCCCGACCTCGTCATCAACATCCACCTCTTCCTCTCGCTTGTTGCGCATGTGCTGAAGGGTCAGATAGTCTTCAATGTCGTCGAGCGAGTTGCTGATGCCACACGTCTTGAAAGCCCTCTAAATGAGGGCAGCAGGGATGGCCCTCCACGCCTTGGAGACCCACTTCAGGATCTCCTCCGGTGGAGGCTTCTTGAGGTTTCCACTGCCAGAAAACATGAGTAACCACTCAGTTAGAACCATGTTTATAGAGAACAAACTGTTAAAAACAAGCCAGAAGATACCCACCCTTAGCGGACTTGGAATACATCCCCACGGAGTCAAACCACTCCTGGTAGTATTGCCTCACCCGAGCCTTGAAAGAACGGTTGACGCATACGTCTAGGGGCTGTACGACGGAAGTGCAGCCCGCGGGGATGACTCCGCGGACGACAGAAAGCTTCCTATAGCATTCATTCACTTCAGGCGTCAGGTGACCACGGTAGGAGTCAAGAATCAGTAGGGCAGAGCGTGCACGCAAACCAAATCTTGGGCGGATGAAGGGCTCAACGGCATTTTCTAGCCAGGTCTTCACACCGTCCGCATCCATCCAGCCGTTGGGCTGTGCCGCAACGACGACATCTGCATAAAGACAGAGTATAAGCTTGGTTAACGCGATTGAAAAAACAAGGAAAACACACAAAAGCCGCGAAACCAAAACATACCAGCGAGGAAATCCCCTTGAGGGACGGTCTTCCTCTTGAAGTAGACCCACGGCTTCAGCTTCTCCCCCCCTGCCGTGCACGCGAGCATAACAGTAACTCGCTCCTTTTGGTAGCCGGCGGAGCGGATAGGGACGGAGTTGACGCCGACCTGCTCGATGGTGCGGTGAGCCGGCATCTCCAACCACAGTGGAGTTTGGTCGGCGTTGATTATCCAGCGCTCTTCAATGCCGTACATCCTCCGCACCTCCCTGCAGAATCGCCAGAAGTTTTCGACCTCTGCCGAGCAACCTGTGGGAGGCCAGTATGGGAATTCGAAAAGGACATGACTTAGTACAACATTTGTATGGAGCGACAGTGTAAACTCGAATAAGAGAGTACATACATAGGCGGAAAGAAGAGACAGAAATGGATGCAATGACGGTGTACTTACTATCGGTCATTTTATGGCAGACTTTCGTCTTGGCGCGAACCGACAGATTCCACCTTGACCGGAATCGTTCGGTCCAGCGGTAGGAGCCCTGCCATTTGACGTCCGGGTGAAGAACCTTCATTAACTCCCGTGACCACTTTTGCAGCCTTGACACCGGGACCGGAGTTCCCACAGCGCGCGCGGCGAGTAGCTTCGAATACACCTGCGTCTCCATATCGGCGTACCAAGAAGACCTCCCCTGCCCATGCAGCCTCTTACGGCAGCCGTGGGCAGCTCTTAGCTCCTCCTCGTGCTTCGACCAGTCGTTGATGCGGCGGCGCGAGATTCCAGACTCGCGTGCGACTTCATTCTTCTTCTTTACCTCTTTCAGTCGGTCCAGCCAAAATAGCTTCTCCTTCGCCGTGTAAGACTTTCGCTTCCTCCCGTTCATCCGATTCCTGGGGGATGGGGGGCAGGCATCTCGATTCACAGAAGAAGGATGTGGCGTTTTCTGCCCTCGGGAAACGACGGCACAGGGAGCTTCTCGGGAAGACCATCCCGAGACCAGTACTCGGCTCCATCATCAGCATCCGCGTCGTGCTCGGGCCACTCATCGCCGTGCGGAATCCCCTAATCACGAGCAGGTGGCGCAGCGGAAAAGCTAGCGTCGGGCTTTGGATGGGCACTGATGTCGTCTTGTGGAATTTTCTCGCCCGACAGCAGCAGAGTCAGGACCGGCAGTCCGTACAGGTACGGAGGAGCGGGTGGCGCTGGCGGGGCAGGAGGAGTGGGAGGAGCCGGCGGAGCAGGAGGGGCAGGGGGAGCCGGAGGAGCCGGAGGAGCAGGAGGTGCGGGAGGAGCTGGACGATGCTCTGCTCTAATGCGCGTGGGCTCGCCTGGTCTACCAAAAAGGATCGAAATGCCAGACACGGGAAAGCCAGCCATAGCTCCCACAAGGGGAGCTGGTGCTGCTTCAGCGTTCACATCGATAGGAAATGAAATACTGAACCCCTCAACGAGGTACCCCCTCCTGGAAGGCGGCTTGGGTTCCTCGTCGGGGTCAGATTCCTCGTCGATGAAAGGGGTGGAGGAAGGAATATTTTCTGCAAGATTCCTGTCCAGATTCCTGGTACCCCAAGCCGCGTCGCTGCCCTGGTGCGGATGTTGCAGGAACGTGGTCCCCAACACCACTGAACCATGTGTGCTGGCACATCACGGCACCAGGATTGCTTGTGATAGGGCCGCATGGCAGCGTTCTTGCCTTGCTGTGCTGGTCACACATTCAAACCTAGTTTCCGTGCATGTTCTCGGCGTGTCCCCTCTGGAACCACGCCCAATAGCCTACAAACATCAAGACCTACAGTTTTTCTTTTTCTTTTTAAATTATTCTGTAAAATTCGGTATAAACGCCCCCCCCTTAATTAAAAACCAGTCCTATAAACGCCCCTAGGGGCGTCTATCCGGGTGATTATGTCTGAAGCTCGTCCACTTAGCGGAGCAGGTACACTTCCTGTCAGGGATTGGGATGTCCAACTGTGCGCAACGTGGGTTGCACAACTCATCAAAGTTGCGCAACCCAGCCTGGTTACCGGGCTCGCCAAACCTCGCTTGGCGTGTAAAAAATGGTTTGAAATCGTTTTTGTTGGATTGGGTTGGGTTGCGGTCTCGAGGCAAAGTGCAACCCATGTTCCACGCCCTGACAACCATCGTTCCCACCCACAGCTTTGGGATTTTCGCTTGCCGCAGGAGAATCCCTGGGTCTCTCGTGGCTCTTGAGCAGGATCAGCTGGCATCATCTGCAGTTCTAGCCTAGCCTGAAACTGGCCTAGCCTACCACTTATCAAGCATATGATATTTTATAGCACAATAGGCAGTCTATGGATGCGACCAGTTGTCCGGTCTTTGAGAATGCGTCGCGTGTCGACAGATCGCAGCGCAAGCAGAGGCACGTACTAGCTTGAATGGACAGTCTCGGAACGCTATTGGCTGATCTATCACCGTCAAATCTTCCTATCCTAAGTTGAATACCTGAAGTTGAATTTCGTTTCCGTTAACTATGGCAGCGCGAATTCGCGTGCTGAACGTGGTTGCAGCGGTCGCGATCGTATTTATTCTCTATCATGTCGGTCGAGCGCTGCACTGGGAGTTAGAAGCGCGGCTGCAGGAATACAGAGAGGGCTTTTCGGATGCCACTGCCGCTTCGACGCAAGCAATCGCGGAGGGAGGAGACGTTCAACCCCTCGGCAACGCGCGAGGTGCGGTGTGATAGGATGTCAGGATCGCAAACACGGCGTTCGGTTCAACGACTAAACTGACAAAAGGGCAACCGTGGTTTGTTAGGAAGGATACTGTCAGCCCGTAGGAAACGCGCGAGGTGCGGTGTAAGATTTTTAGGATGGCGCACACTTCAGTTCAGGAATTCGCCGATCGCGGTTGTAAGGAACGAGACTTTCACGCCGCGGAAGCGCGCGAGGTGTGAGATAGGATTTTGAAATTATTGAGAGACACTTTCTGACAGGCTGACATCTATTACCGCTTCAGGAGTAGGGTCTGCACCAGGAATTGTCACCACTGGAATTGTTATGATTAGGCGTCTTTGAGTTTACTTGCGATCACCAGGACAGCTAGAATGTGGTCACCAGGACAGCTAGGATGTGGTCACCAGGATAGCTAGGATGTGGTCACCAGGATAGCTAGGATGTGGTCAACAGGATAGCTAGGATGTGATCACCAGGATAGCTAGGATGTGGTCACCAGGATAGCTAGGATGTGGTCACCAGGATAGCTAGGATGTGGTCACCAGGATATCTAGGATGTGGTCACCAGGATAGCTAGGATGTGGTCCTATAGGTCTGACTACAAAGCTACCTGCGAGATTGAGTTGCTCTATCCGGAATAGACTGGGTTACTCAATACGGTGTATGCTGCGATGGAGCGTCACAGGAGCCAGCCTGATTCGCTGCAGTGAGTGGGGTATTGGAGGATTGCTGGACAGCACCGGATCCTAGAATCACTTTTTCCTCATTCCCTACACCCTGACGCTGCTCACCCTCTCGACGCTGCTCACCCACTCAACGTTGCTCACCCTCTCGACGCTGCTCAGAGGCGAACGTAGTGACTCCGGTCCATGACAGTGATCCCGACGTTCTTGTCGGCAGGTTTCACTACCACGTGTCGATCCGCAGCGATGGAGCGCAGCGCCCGTCTAACACCAGACGAGATGTTCTGATGTCGGATTAGGCGGGTTGCCTTCAACAAGAAGGACAAGTCGAATGACGAATCCTTGAAGACCTGCTCCGGAATTTGAATCCAATCAGGAAGCCAGTCGGGATTCTGCACTCGAAAGCGCGAGTCCCCCTTCCGACCGCCGTCATCCTTGAAGAAAAGTCGAAGCGAAATCTTGCGTAGGAGCTGGTCGAGCTCCACAGCACCAGACAGGGAAACGGCAGGCGTTGGAATGAACTTCAGTCCCAACCCCAGCCCCTTCTTCTTGTCCGAAGACAAGACCTTGGAGCTGAGGTTATGTACTCCCCGGTTCCAGATCCGTGTCGACAGCTGCCGCACTGTCAACTGTCCGAACCAGCGGAGCGCCAAGTCGTGACTGGTTAGTTCTTGCGCGGCCCTTTTCCGGGGCCGCCTCTGCCGTTTTTTGGTCCCTTGGCCTTCTCAGATGTCTGGCCACCCGCTTGCTGGTCTCAGATGTCTGGCCACCCGCGACGACCTACACTCCAGTTCATCAAGATCCTACCGCCGACGTCGTGCGGAAGCTGCGTGATCTGCAAAGCGTGTGGGGACCTCCTTTTCCCGAGAGCCTGTGGAAAATTTTCTTTGACAAACCGCGCGGAGGATGGCGACCGGCGGCGTTCTACATCCTTCCGAAGCTACACAAGAAGAAACTCGTGGGGCGGCCTATCGCAGCTTCGCATTCATGGGTGACTTCGAATGTTAGCCGTTGGTTGGATGCGGAACTTCGACCACTGGTGCTTCAACAGCCAACCTACCTACGCGACTCCCTCTCATTGCTACTGATGCTGGAAAAGACCAACTTTCCTAAATAGACATGGGCATGAGCCGAGCCTGGCTCGGCTCGGCTCGTTTGGGGTCGAGCCGGCTCGGCTCGCCTCGAGCCGGAACCTCAGGATTCCCGGCTCGGCTCGTCAGGGGGGCTTGTGTAACCTCTCAAGAAGGCCCACTGTTTTTGGGGACTCTAGTCCAGGGGATGTGCCAAATTGTGATTGTGAACTACTGCTGCTCTGTTTGGGGCGCCAATACAAGCCTAGGTGAGCTGAAAAGTCACAATAATTTAATGTAGTACCATGGAAGTTAAAACAGTGCCCCTTTGCCAACAGCATGTTATCAGCGCAACCAGACGCAAGCTAGCAACCACCCGACCACATGGTTTAGCACGCAGCCTACAGCTCCTCCACCCCGAGCTTCTCCGTCTCTTTGATCCACCCTGGCTTTAACAGGGAGACACCAGGGTGCGTGCAAGTCCATGACTTGAGTGTCATAGTGGCTCGCACGCTCTCCCCAGACAACCTCTGCCTATGGCGGGTGATCACATTTCGGCTCTGACTGAACACACGCTCGCTAGCTGCCGATGTTGCTGGTATGGCCAGGTAATCCTTGGCCATAGCTTGCAACACCGGCATATCAGACCTCTCGCGCCAGTACGCCAAGGGGCAACCCTCATGCAACTCCCCCTCAATGTAACGATCCACCTCATCCCGCACCGTGGCCCCCCGTCGTGCGGAGCGTGCTAGCAGCTTGGCGTGGAGAGACTGGCTCAAGCCACCCCGCACTGGTACACCACTAGCATCTCCACCCTCAAACCCCCCCCCCTCCCAAGCCCACCCCCCCTCTGCCCCCGTCCTGTTGCTGTGCCGCTTGCTTCAGCCGCTTACTGTACTCAGCAAAGCGTGCCCGTACAAGGGTCAGCACCTCTGACGGCTTGAAGCTCGCCACAGGCCTGCCCTGCTGCTCCTCCTCCCCCTCCTCCCCCTCTCCCCCCTCCTCATCCTCCTCGTCCTCCTCGTCCTCCTCGTCCTCCTCGTCCTCCCCCTCTGCACCCTTCTCTGAACCCATCTCCTCCTCCCCCCCCCCCGCACCAGCGGCACGCACAACTAGCGCGCGTGAAGACCCGGCTAGTCCACTTTCCACGCCCACCCCGTTTGCCCCCTCTCCCTCTCCCCCAGAGCGGGTGTCCGTCCCTCCATCCACCTCGAAGAACACCAGCCTCATGCCGGGGTTAAAAAACGTCGCCACCACGAGCTCATCGCTGCTGCTGCAATAGTACCGTTCTAGCACGGGGAAGGCGACGCCAACGAGCTGACGGCCGATGAGGCGGGGCGACGGCCATGCCTGCAAGGTGTCCATCAGTTCGTTGAACTGTGGCACAACAGCAGATGATGTGGGGTAGGAAGAGCCCTCGGCCGCCACTGTGATGGAACTGAACGGTGCCTGGAACTCCGCCAGGACATCCAGCGTGTCCCAGTGCGCGTCGGTCAGGCGCAACGCGACGTACTTCGCGCGCTCTTCGGCCGTCTCTCCCTGGGAAGTGAGCAGGGGTGCATGGGGGGGGGGTAGTGGGGATACAATGGGTGTGGCGGCATGGAAGGAAGGGTCACACAAGGGGGCGCGTAGGAGCATCCGCGCACGCAATGGAAGCGGTGGAGTGGGCTTTTGTAAAGAGGGTACCTGCTCCACTGCGAAGTGCGCAGTGAGGGATCGGCGGAGCCTCAATGCACGCGCGACCATCTCGTGCGTGCTGCCCCAGCGAACCTCGCTGTCCAGCACCAGGCGGGATCGGACCGCTGCTGCGCCTCAAATTCCCGCGTGCGCCTCTCACTCCATCCAACAAAGGTGGCAATGTCGCGTAGGAGCTTCAGCGGCACCCTCACCGCTGGCAGCTTCAGCGCACGCTGGACAGCAAGGTTCAGGATGTGCGCCAGGCAGCTGCATGTATGTACGAAGGCGCACAGGGGGGGGGGAGAGAGGGGGGAGGGATATCCTTAAGGACCCTCCATGCCATTGAGAGGGGAGGTGTGGATCGTCTGAACAGCAGCACACTATGTGGACAAGACAAGGGCTGCAAGCTCGCCATGCACTCACCGGAAGTGCCTGCCATCTGCGAGGAGAGGCGTGGCCAACGCATGACAACCAAGACCGGCGAGGCGACGCATGGCAGCTGTGTTGCTGCTGGCGTTATCCGTCGTCACCCCCATGCAAAACCCCACGAGCTCCCACTCCCTGATGACTCGCGCGAAGACGTCTGCAATTAGCCGCCCTATGTGGCGCGCTTCCAGCTCCATAAACTCCAGTGTACACTGGCGCAGCTGAAAATCCCTACTAATGAAGTGCGCCGTCACTGTCATGTACCCCCGCCTGTTACCCCCGGTCCATATGTCCGTTGTGAAAGAGACACGCCCGCTCCCTGAACCCGCCCCAAACTCCGACTTAACCACTGCCCGTGCCGCCTCAGAGTAGAAGCGGAGGTCCCTGGAAACGGTGGTCCGGTCGGGTATGGGGATTGCGTTGCCGCATTGAGGGTTGCATACAGCCAAGAGGCGGCGGAACTGCCAAAAGGAAACGAGAGGGGGGGTGTGGGGTTTGGGGGTGTTTAGCGCCATGCGGGGGGGGGGGGAGGAGGTGGTGGTGGGGCGGGTGGTTCTTTTGGTGGGGCAGATCCAGTAGGTTATAGGGGGGGGGGGGGGGATTTGGGTTACACAATGACCACAGGCTTAGGGAAGGGTGTGAAGGGGGGGGCTGGTGGGGTGGCTCGCTTACCGCGGGGTCCTCTACGATGCGAAAGGAGCTGTCGGTGCTGGCGATGAACTCAACAATCGCCTGACGCAAACGCGGCTCTGACACACGTGGGCCAAGGAACCGGTCCATCGTGGGCTGCCTCGTGTCCGCCGCTGCCGGGGACAGGGACGGGATGGTGGCGCCGGGGGGGGGGGTGCGGCCAAGTCTTGGACCACTCGTTGGGCACCTTCCCATCAGGGACATGTGGGTATCCCCCCATCGGAAACGACTCTCCTGGCTCAAGACCCTCGACCACGCGCCGCTGCCACATGTCCCAGTGTGGGCGATGGTGTCTCGCCATATGCTTGGCACCTGTGCTGGTCTGGCTGTCCTTGAAGCCCCTCGGCTTCTCGCACATCTTGCACACTCGCTTTCTCTCGCTCCCCAAGAAACACTCTGTCACACGCTTGTTGCTCCTCTTTGCTCCAACCTTACGGTTCTTTTTCTGTCTTTTCCTTCTCCCCTCCTGCTCAACGCCTGGGTCCACCTCCTCAGCCCCATCCGCACGCCCTCCCCTGCCTTGAAACCCGACGGACGGAGCAGCGCGCTCCCCCCCTCCTCCCCGCCCCTCCTCCCCCCCTTTGCGCCTGTCCCTGGCCGTCGCACAACCCCACTCCCTTCCTGACGCTACCTCTTCCCCCTGGCGCTCTCCCCCCCCCTACTCCCACCCGTTCCCTTCTTGGACTGACCCTCCCCCTCCCCCTCCTCCTCCTCCTTCTCCTCCTACTCCTCGTCCTCCATCACCAAACCCTCCATCTCGTGCTCATCATCCTCCTCCTCCTCTTCCTCCTCCTCATACTCGCTGCCGCTAGATTTTCCGCTCTCCCGCTCCTCCGACTCGCTCCCATCCCTCTCATCGCCACCGCTCTCCCGGCTGCGGCGAGCTTGTGCGCGCTTGACCCTCCTCCCCTCCCCCTGGGCTCTCCCCCCCCCTCCCCCTCGTCCCATCCCGTGCCGAGAGAGGAGGAAATCTGTCCACTCCTCAGGCATGTGGGGCATGGCCCCACCTCCATTGGTCTCATTCGCCCTCGAACTCACACCCCCCTGGTCCCCCACCGCCTCATCTGTGCCCGCTACACGATCCCTCCCCGGCCCCCCTTGCCTAGCCGCCGTTGCCTTGGTCTTTGCCATGTGCAATGCAAGATCGCGCACCCCCAAATGCGTGCGCTTAACTTAATCAAGCGTTACCAAGCACCCTACAAGGCTACAACCCTCAGCATCGTGGGACTAGGCCTAAACGGACGCACGCCCAAGCCTAAACCGTAGCGTGCGCATACCACGAGCCAAGGCCTCGGTGGCGCGCCTAGGGCTGTCGCGCCAAGGCCTCGGTGGCCCTAATTATAAATAGTAGTTCTTACATCTTTAAAAAATAAAACAAGGTGCTGCAAGTTTGGTTCTGGCTGAGGGCGAAAGACTAGGGCGATAGGCTAGGGCGTTATGGTAAGATTAGGGTTGGTTGACGAAATGGGCTAGGGGGGGAGTTTATCGATTTGAATTTTGACTGTCGCGAAACCCCCCCTTACCCGAACCGCGAGCCAGCTGGCTCGAATTCGAGCTATTTCGAGTCGGCTCGACTTCGGCTCGCCTGGTGTCACCTGCGCGAGCCGAGCCGAGCCAGGCGTGGCTCGGCTTGTGCCCATGTCTATTTCCTAAAGGACTACTTCTAGCTACGTACGACGTCACCTCGCTTTATCCCAGCATCCCACTAAGGCGAGGGCTCGATGCGGTGGGCAATTTTCTTCAACGAGGGAGAATCGTGAATTCTCAACCAGTCATGGCCTTGCTGGAATGGGTCATGATGAATTCTTTCGTGGAGTTCAACAGCCGAATCTACCAACAGACACAAGGGACTGCTATGGGAACTCCTGCTGCAGTATGCTTTGCTGTCCTTTTCATGAGCTGGCTGGACGAGATTCTTTCAAGGCGGTGGTCTGGAACTACACCATTGTGCCACGTGCACTACATCGACGACGGGTTGATAATTTGGCCCGGATCGAAGAGCGAATTGGAGGAGTACCGGAACACCTTCAACACGCTCGATCCAAACATCAAGCTCACTTGGCACATTTCAGACAGTTTGGCTGACTTCCTCGACCTGGTCATCTTCAAGGGTCAACGTTTTGCCGAGCAGGGTACCCTGGATCTGAAAACTTTTCAGAAACCGATGAACCGGTACCTGTACGGTGTACCTGCCTTTTTCGTCATTCCACCCCCGACACTGCAAGATGGGTTTCATACGGGCGGAGCTGAAGCGTTACCTCTTACGCTCGTCATCTGCTCAAACCTACTTTGCTTCTAAGCGTGCTTTCTTCCAGCGGCTAAGAGATCGGGGTTATCCGGCTGATTTTCTGACACCCATCTTCCAGAGTGTTCTCTTCCGACAACGCCCGCTCCTATTGGAGCAGACTGAAGCTCGCCAGGCACACCGAATTTCTACTCCCCCTGACCGCGGGCCCCTAGTTTTGAAGACGGTGTTTACTCCGTTAACAGCACGTCTCAGGCTGGGAGTCCTTTTGAGGCGCCTAAAAAATCGTCTCAACTCACGCGGATTTTATATGAGGAATATTTTCATTGCATGGAGGTGTGCACGTAACCTTCAAAAGTTACTTGTGCGAGCCAAGTTACCAAGGCTTATCGACAGTTCGGAAGAAGACCCTCCTGAAGACTGACACCTGCAACCTCGGGTTTTTACCCACTGCTGTGTTGGCGAATGCCCATTGATAGGCAATCTGGGTAGTTGATAGTCTTGAGAATTGTTTTGGAGGGTGTGGGTTGTTACTTAGCTCATGCCTAGACTCGTGATCTCTTATGTCCAGTAGCACTGATGAAGGCTCGGCGGGTTTGATCCCCGTAAGCCGAAACATGTTTGCGACCTGGTAAATTTGAGTGAAGAGTTTTTACGAAGCAAATCTCTTGCCTAGGATTTTTTTACTCTCGTTCTTGTTGCTCAAGCGACTGAATTCGCACTGCTGCTCTTCCCAAGACCATGAGTGACATTGCTCACCCTCTCGACGCTGCTCACCCTCTCGACGCTGCTCACCTTCTCGACGCTGCTCACCCTCTCGACGCTGCTCACCCTCTCGACGCTGCTCACCCTCTCGACGCTGCTCACCCTCTCGACGCTGCTCACCCACTCACCCGATTGCTGTTTTTCCCCTCTCTGGCTATTTTCGCTGTCTATCCTCTCCTTACGCACAGGTCTCGAGACGGCCTCACTCCAGGGTCTGCCGAAGGAAGCGTCAATTGCTCTCATGGCTCTGCACGTGGCTGACCCCGACGCCGCCATGCCAGTCAAAACCGTTTTAGTGGAGGATGCGGCAGCAGGATCAACTGGAGCAGCGGAAGAAGTAGGAGCAACAGCGGAAGGGCGCAGCCAGGAATCCCCAGGCAGCTCAGAAGGCGGCCTGAATCTACCATCCGATACAGCTGAAGTAACGAATCCGACAGCAGGAACAACCGCTAGAGAAGCAGCAACAGATGCTACCTCCACAAATCCACCCACCACAGACTCACCTGGTGCAGGTGCATCTGGCGACCAGCAGTTCGCCACTGGCGTGCGTCCCATCCTGCACGAGGGCAGGCCCCTACTGCCGGACCTGAAGCGGGAGATCTGGGAGAAGCCTCCCCTAGGTAGCGCCGTCCCTGCCAGGGAGGAGTTCGCTCTGCGGCGCGAGATGGTGCAGCAGCGGCAGAGGGAGAACGTGGTGGTCGTCACGTTTGCCAACCACGCATTTCTGGATTTTGTGCTCAACTGGGTGTGGCACCTGACAGATCTGGGCGTGTACAATATCCTTGTTGGTGAGGCAATTGAGGGGGGGGGGGGGGGGGGGGGGGGGTGGGGTGGGGGAGTTTGGTTCCTCCGGTTTTATTGAGCATGAGAGGTGGGAGATGGGACGTCGGAGATGGTGCAGCACCGGCAGAGGGAGAACGTGGTGGTGGTCACGTTCGCCTTTTATGCGTTCTTGGATTTTGTGCTCAACTGGGTGCGGCATCTGACGGATTTGGGCGTGTACAACATCCTTGTTGGTGAGGCGATGGGGGGGGGGAACGGTGGTTGGGTGGTCTGTTTGGGCATACTAGGGGGTGAGAGATGTTGCAGCACAAGCAGAGGGATAACCTGTTGGTGGTGGTGACGTGCCGGTGTTCCATACCATTGGGGGGGGGGGGGGGGGGCTTACCCCCATGCTCCCCCCTCCGCTCCTTTCTGCTCGTGCTGATCCCATCAGGCGCCATGGACACCAAGTTCCTGGAGGCTCTCTTCTGGGAGGGCGTGCCTGTGTTCGATCTAGAGAGCGGCATGACCACAGACGAACCTGGGTGGGGCACGCCGGTGTTCCATGCCATGGGGCGGGAGAAGGTGACCCTCATCAACGTCTTCCTGTCGCTGGGAGTGCAGCTGCTGATTTGTGACACTGGCTCCGGGTAAGATGTGGCTCGGGGCATGTTGTGGCTCGGGCCATGTTGTGGCTCGGGCCATGTTGTGGCTCGGGCCATGTTGTGGCTTGGGCCATGTTGTGGCTCGGGGTAAGATGTGGCTTGGGATAAGATGTGGCTTGGGATAAGATGTGGCTTGGGATAAGATGTGGCTTGGGGTAAGATGGGGCTCGGAATAAGATGGGACTCGGAATAAGATGTAGCTCGGGGTAAGATGTAGGTCGGGGTAAGATGTAGCTCGGGTTAAGATGTAAGCTCGGCGTAAGATGTAGCTCGGGACCGGTCCGTCCTGGCCTTTTGCTCATGCCTAGTCTCGTTGTTCTGCTCGGGCCACACCTACTTTGTCCAGGTGAGGCCTGCAGTTGACTTGTGTTGACTGGGCGTGACCTCAGTTGACTGTGAAGCTGGGGCCGGTGTGAACCCCGAGGGGAACGATAACCGGTTCTGGGCGTTCGGTGGGAGTCTGAAGCGTGGGATATTGCATGTGGCACTGTTTTTCTCGGGCCACACTTACTTTGTGCTGGTGAGGCTGCATTTGACTGTGGTTGACTGAGGTTGACTTGAGTTGACTGCACCTTACAATCCTGAACGTCTACAGCCCTCTGCCCTCCCTTCTCCTCCTGTCTCTACCTGCTTTGCTCCCCTCCCTACAAGCACCTGTACAGGCAGGTAGCCCTAGATACATCTGCCATGCACGCCACGTTTCAGTTTGCTGAATGGTCGGCAAGAGGCACCCGCCCACTCTTCCTACCCCCCGTCTCTCTTCCTCTCCACCTCCCGCCTTCTTGTCCCCTCCCCACCAGCACCTGTATCGCACGGTAGGCCTGGACTGAAGCCCCATGCCATGCCATGCACGCCATATGTCTCTCGCCCGCCCAACCCCCACCCCGTTGTATTTTGAGTCAACTCAAAATACAACTGGACAAGCTGACACACGGTTTATTCTCCGGCCGACGTGCATTGATTGCATGGAAGCTGCCAAAGAAGATCAAGGATTTTATAGTCTCAGCAAGGAAATGCTAGTTTAGTGTTTCAAATTTGTTACACTTATCTAGTTTTTTGCTAGGCTACAGTGACCCCTTCTCGGGGATGGTGTGGACCCTCGAGTTTTTCTCGGGTCGCACTCTCACTATTTAGACAGCTCGAATGCTCCGATGTTCAGTAGATGCTGATGAAGGCTTGTATAAGCCAAAACTAGTTCATCACTGGTTTTCCATCAAAACTTCCTGAACATCCCTTCAGCTCGAGCTTTTTCAGAACCGCTGCCTCGCAAGGCTTTTTCCACCATGGTTAGCCCTGAAAATATGTGTCCATTGGTCTGCACGCCATATGTCTCTCGCCCGCCCAACCCCCACCCCTTCCTCCCCAAGCAGCACCTGTACCGCAAGATAGGTCTGGAGCCATACGCCATGCACGCCACCTTCCAGTTTACCGGCACGGGCTGCAAGAGGCATCGCTTCAGAGAGGCCATGGCGTTCATTGACCCGCCTGAGTACTACGACCCTCCAGGTGAGGCTCGACCCCCCAGTGGGGGGGCTGGTATCATAGGCATAGATGGGATTACTGGGACACACAGACAACATGAAGCACCGCTTCCAGCTGTGGCGTTCGATAACCCCCCGAGCATCACAACGTGCCAAGTGGGGATTGTGCAGGTGGTTGTGGATAGTACTCCCAAGCTACAGCCGCCCGAGTACTGCAACCCTCCCCATGCGGATTCTGAGGCTGGTAGAACCTTCTTGGTAACTTGATTGCTGGCCTTTCTTCTCCTGTCTCACCTGCCTTCGCTTTGTACGTACTATGAGGCACTCAAGGTACATAGTAGGTGCAACCACCTTTGTCAAAATCACCTAGTGGTTGCTTGTCATCCCACGTACCATGATGCACGTCCCATATGATATTGTGATGTGGCGGCGTGCCAGGTGGCGTGTTGTCATTCGTGAACAACATCCCGGAGGAGCTCCTGACTGGGGGGGATCACTCCCTGCAAACCCACTTCAACCTCGCCAACTACCAGGTGAGTCAGTTACCAGGTGTGCGGACAAGATGTGTGGTGTGGAAACCACTCAAGTGGTACTACCCCTCCTCCTACCCCTCCTCCTCCTCCCCTCATCGTCGTCGTCGTCGTCCTCCTCCTCCTCTTCCTCCTCCTCCTCCTCGTCCTCCTCGTCGTCGTCGTCGTCGTCGTCGTCCTCCTCCTCCTCCTCCTCCTCCTCCTCCTCCTCCTCCTCCTCCTCCTCCTCCTCCTCCTCCTCCCCCTCCTCCTCCTCCTCCTCTTCCTCCTCCTCCTCCTCCTCCTCCTCCTCCTCCTCCTCCTCCTCCTCGGCCTCGGCCTCCTCCTCCTCCTCGGCCTCCTCCTCCTCCTCGGCCTCCTCCTCCTCCTCCTCCTCGGCCCTCCTCTCCTCCCTCCTCGGCCTCCTCCTCCCCCTCCTCAGCCTCCTCCCTCCTCCTCCTCCTCCTCCTCGCCTCCTCCTCCTCCTCCTCCTCGCTCCTCCTCCTCCTCCTCCTCGGCCTCCTCCTCCTCTCCTCCTCCTCCCTCCTCCTCCCTCCCCTCCTCCTCCTCCTCCTCCTCCTCCTCCCCTCCTCCCTCCTCCTCCCCTCATCTTCCTCCTCTTCCTCCTCTCCTCGCCTCCTCCTCCTCCTCCTCCTCCTCCTCCTCCTCTCCTCCTCCTCCTCCTCCGACCCCCCCCTCCGACCTCTCCCCCTCTCCCACGCCGAGATCCCATGGTCCGCGGACTTCCTCCTCCTTGTCCTCCTCGTCCTCCTCGTCGTCGTCCTCCTCCTCCCGTGCCCTCTTCCCCTTCCCCTTCCCCTTACCCTGCCCCTTCTCATTCCCCTTCCCTTCCCTTCCCCTTCCCCTTCCCCTTCCCCTTCCCTTTCCCTTTCCCCGAGCCCTTTGCCTTCTTCGAACACTTCACGGTGGAGGTCTTCCCTTTCCTCGTCTTCCTCTCGCTGATGCTCCAAAGGACTCCCAATCAATAGTGCACTCAACCGCTCCCTCCACCCCCTCTCCTCCTCCACCTCCTCCCCTCCCCCTCTTCCTCTTGGGAGGTGGGTGGAGCGGGGCCAGAGCTCCCTTCTCCAAGCACGCTAGCGCTAGGTTTTGGTACAGGCGGTCCCGAGCCGCAACCTTCCTATCGAAAGCCTTCCTCGAGCGCTGGCTGATCACCACCACCGTGACTAGGCATGAGCAACCGAGTTGAGTTTCTGACTCGACTCGTCAACTTGGCTCGCCTTTTGGCGAGTCGAGTTTTTTTTTGTGCTCTTCGACTCATCCCGAGTCGAGTCGAGTTGAGTCGGTCAAGTCACGAGTCAAAGCTCGAACGGCTTGTCCAACATTTTCGGCCCGAGTCACGGCCGTGACGTCAATCAAGGTGGGAGGGCGTTCATTTCTCCGGTTGGGATCTTGACGTCGCACCCCGTGCGAATGCGACCACGCTCGCTCCACCTCGGATATGGTCGTGGGTTGGGAGAGCACCTTCCACCGCGATCTCCTGCAACGCCCTCTACCTCCTCTCCAAAGGTGGTCAACCATTCCGCCTCCGAGAGCCGCCCACTCTCCTCAAGGTGAGTGGTGGCCCACCGTGCTTCCAAACTGCCCAACGTCCCCTCCTCGCTATGGGAGTGTGCGAGTTGGGTCTGGAGGAGTGTTGCGGTGCTGAATGGTCGCCTGCCACGCCTACGTCACCCTTTTCACCCCCTTACCAATCTCCAAGTCGGTCCTCACTTCCTTGGCAAAACGGTTATGGGGGTTGAGTAGCCAACCCAGTATGGAGCGGGTTGTGGAGTTGGCCGTCCCAACGTGCTGCTATGATCCTTTGCACCTTGGTCAAGAATGATGCCTTGTTCGTGGCCAAGAGGAGCCATGTTCTCTTGATGAAGAATGTGGCTGAAAACAAATTCAGAGAACAACGGTTTGATGCGGGTTAGTAAGGGCCGGAAAGGTAGGGTCTGCGAATTGCCATCGACCGTACAAATAAGGTACGCAACGGAATATGGGCGGAGGGGGGATGGGCAAGTATTTGCGGCCTCCGCGACCTTGTTGGTCTTCATTGTCACATCGAGCATCAACCCATAGATGCGCCCCATGAGGTGAGAACGGGTGTCCACCGCCCGAAGCACCTCATAAATCGGCATCAACAACTTTTGCACCGCCTCCACCGAGCTTTAAAAAGCCTCGTCTAGGAGAAGGCTTTGAATCCGCTTCCCCTTCTTCGTTTTCGCTGCAGGCACCCGTGCACTCCTTGCTAATCACCATGCTCTTCAACTGCTTTTTACCTCCAAGAAACGGCCCACCGTAAGGACTTGTGTGCCAAATTGAGTAGCCTCGGACGGACTAGTTCCAACTCACTAAAGACCTCTCGAAAGAGGGTCACGGCGGTGGCGCTAGCCCACGAGCATGGCTACTTGGTGCGCTTGCCACAGGACCTTCTGCACCACGCCTATCATCCCAAGGTCACTGAGCATCCAGTCTAGGCAATGCGCCGCACAATTGGTGAAGAATACCATGGGGAATCCTTCACCAAGGTCAGCCGCCACCCTCTTGTTGTTGCTCGCGTTGTCCACCACGACTTGGACAACGCGAGTATGTCCTACCTTGCAAATCGCACCCTTGCGAAGTCGGATTTGCACTTCGCGATATTCTTGAATTTCGACGCAGGGGTGCCGTAAAGGTGCTCTTGGATGCGTGTCGCACTACCCGAAATGTTCAAACTGCAGTGCAAGCATTCCGACCGTATGACCTTACCATCGTCATCACAAGTATGCTTCACATGCGCCCACAAAGGGGATGGTGCGCGGGGCATGGCGATAAGGCGCCTACGCCTCGCGAAGCTGTTGTGCGCTAGATGCGCCTGAAATACGCGCTGGAATCGGCGTGAAGTAGTTCAGCCACGCTGGGTGGGCGGAGTTTGCTACTAATTCTATAATGCTAGACTAATGAATGCTCTCTGTTGCTGCTCTGTAATTTGTATCTCTAGCGCGTAAGGTTTAGTTGGGTTAGGGTTGCAAGAGCGGGTTGGGAGGGGTGAAATTGCGATTTCGAAATGCGACTCGGTTGCGTGAGTCGCACAATTCGCGACAGCCCGCTATTGGGCGCGATCGAAATCGCCAGCCCTTGCGAAACCGATTTTGGTTTCGCAACAGGTCTGGCGAGAATTCCAAAATGCGCTCCTCGGACACGCGAAATTTCGCGCTTCGGGAATGTGTTGACCGAACATTCAGGGACGGTTGGGTGTATACCCAGCCGTTCGAATTCGGTGTCAAATTCGAGTTGGTGCAGTACACCCACGATTTTAAAACTTCGACCGTATAAAACAACCATTTTTTTCAACAAAGAAAAGCTAACTTTCAGAACCGTTTTAAACCGTTTAATACAGCCGAAAAATACGGGACCGTAACAAACGGTCTAAAAAAGAAAAAAAAAACACACCGTTTTTTTTTACCTTGCTGTCGGGTCAAGCCCCAGCTGCTGCTGACTGCGGGGGATCACTCCCTGCAAACCCATTTCAACCTTGTCAACGAGTTGGTATTGTTTTTTACAATTCCCCTCTGTGCCTCTCTGTGCTTCTCCCCTGCTTCTCTGTGCCTCTCCGTGCTCCCGTCTTGCAGCTAACCAATCTCAGATCAGCTTCGCCATTGCAACCATACTCAACCGAACGCTGGTTAGTCTGCCCCCTCTGCTCTTAGCCTCTAGTCTGGCTGTTTTAACAGGCATCTAAAAAGTAGATGCCTCATTTGTCGGCCTGTTGTCGACCCTGTGGAGGATGAAGTGAGCTTTTCATCCCAGCAACGCCTTTGCCCTGGAGGTTACTTCAGGGGCGCCTTACAAAATAGCTGCCTCATTTCTCCCCCCTGGACCACCGGGTCGAGCATTGGAGTGGAGGTGCAGTGAGTGAGCCTTCCCATCCCAGCAACGTGTTTGCCCTTCTGGAGGTGAAGAGGGTTCAGCCGCTTCTTTCTGTTCCAACACCGCCTTTAAATATCGTGCCTCTCCCCGCAGGTACTACCCACCACATGGGTGTGCTTTCACCGAATCTAGTTGACCACATGGTGGTGCAGCGAACCTTGCTGTCCCCGCAACCGCTTTCCTTTGCCCTGCTGCAGATACAGCCGAGTCATCTGCTCCCTTCCTCTCCCCACAATCCTTCGCCCTGCCTTTCTTCTCAGGTGCTCCCAGCCACATGGGTCCGGTTTGACCGACTCTGTTTCCCACACCTAGGGATTGTAGAAGGCACTGACACACCACAGCCGTTCCTGTCGCCCCTGGCGAGCCAAGTCGAGCCAGGCTCGGCATGCTGCCCATGTCTAACTTGAATTGACTGGAAGATGGGGCCTGATGTCAACCCCGAGATCAAGGATAAAGCGTCTTGGGCGTTCGATGGCAGTCTGAAGCTGGGGATACTGCCTGTCTCGTTTATGCCTGAGCACGGCACGGCCGGCTCGGCCCGGCCCGGTTTTGGGTCGGCTCGGTTAGAAACCGAGCCGGGCCAGGCCGGCCTGTCCCGGGCCGGATTCCCAGATTTGTCGGCCCGGCCCGGGTTTCTAGACCTGGGCTGACCTTGGCCCGGTGGCCGGACTGGTCCGGCCCGGTCTAAATCGGGCCAAAACCGGGCCAGCCGGCCCGGGACTCCTTTTTTACTGTTTCGGGTGGGGTATTGATGGGGGGATGTCGTGCTTTGCTCTGCCAGATTTCCTAGGTGGTTGTCGCCCCTTGTAACGTGTCTCATGGTCCCCTAAATGCGCAGGATAAGCAGCTATGCATGGGAGGTGGCACACAAGGCCATGAACCATTGGTTTTTAGGCCGTTGGCTAGGGCAGGCCCTCATGCTATCGAAAATCCAGAATCAGGCAGTCATGTATGCACGTTACCAAGCCTAATAAATAAAGTACCAAAGAGGACCCATGGCACATTGCCGGGTCCTTGGAATGACGTGATAATGTCCAATCCAATCCCAACCTGCACCACCAACCCCAATCCCACTCAAAGTCCCTCATCATCCCCTCAAGGGACACTCCTCTAGTTGCCTTAGATTCTTTCGCCCCTGCCCAGCCCGCCTTGCCCCTCCCTTTCCTGCAGCAGCGCCGAGGGCGTGCCTACACCGCCTCCATTGCCTCGTCGAGAGGGTGTCCCTCGCTGCCCACCAGCGGCGATCCTCCCCCCCCCCCCCCCCCCCACGACCTTCACCGTACCCTGCGCCGCCCGTTCCACGCGGCCGACCGCGCGGAGGTGTGTGCCCTTCCCCATTGCCAGCCCCCCCCTGTGCGATGCCCTCCTGCCCTAGCGTCTTTGCCCTACCCACCACCTCCGGGCCTCCTGTCATTCCCTTCTCCCCGCCTACGCTGTTTTGGCAGGCCGTCGCTGGACTCCTCGGACAACTCCTCCCCACTGATGCGGTACTCTTCGTCATCATCCCGCCTGCCCAGAAACCTCGCGCTCTCCCATCTCCTCCTCCCCCCCCCTCAGCCGTTCCCCGTGGATGTGTGAGCCCTCGGGCAGCATCACCTGCTGGAGGGCCCCTCGAAACCCATAACTACTAACCCACCAGCGCTCGCCCCGCGATCGTGCTCTGACGCGACGTTCCACCAAAATCGCCCATTGCCTCGATTCGAGCACCACCAACTTCGCCTCACGCCTAGTGACGCGCGGAACCTTCAGCTATTCAGAGTGGCAGGCCAAATCGCAGGCCAACCATGCTACTACAAATTGTAAATCGAAATAAATGTAATGTCAAAGGTAGGTTGAGATCGTTTGACGAGTAACGTTGGTAGTTTACGAACAAGTCACTGTGGAGAAATGCGATTCGTAACTTGAGTAACGCGCCAAAGGAGTCTCATGAAAACGGATCTGTGGCGCTCGGCGATTTTCAGAGGGGGTACGTTTTCTAGGGTAGAGAGAACAGCGCACTACTTTTCCTAGCCAGAAATCGTCGCGCAAGAGAAATGCATCCGTAGATCTACCCTAAATTATGGGTAGCAGTTGTCTCTGGACTAAAACGATGGTGGCTGCCACGGATCCTAGGGTTAGAGCCCCTAGATGCCTACGTAGTTGGTTGCGACTCTTGTCTGCTGTGAAAATGAGTCGTGATGGTAAAAAAATCGACTTCATTGTCGAATCTTTGACCCCGCGGATGACCGAGCCGCGCAGGCCAGGCTACGGCCCGCACTTCAGGCCAGCCAGCGGCCCGACTTCGGGAACGCGGCCCGACGACGGGCCTGTCCGGACCGGTCCGGCCCGTTCAGCTCGTCGGACCGGTCCGGACCGGCCCGGCCCAGCGGGCCAAACCCGACCGGCCCGCTCCGCTCGGGCCGGTACCCTTCAAAGTATTGGCCCGGTCCGGGAAATTCTGGACCGGTCCGGACCGGCCGGTCCGTCCTGGCCTTTTGCTCATGCCTAGTCTCGTTGTTCTGCTCGGGCCACACCTACTTTGTCCAGGTGAGGCCTGCAGTTGACTTGTGTTGACTGGGCGTGACCTCAGTTGACTGTGAAGCTGGGGCCGGTGTGAACCCCGAGGGGAACGATAACCGGTTCTGGGCGTTCGGTGGGAGTCTGAAGCCGTGGGATATTGCATGTGGCACTGTTTTTCTCGGGCCACTACTTTTGTGCTGGTGAGGCTGCATTTGACTGTGGTTGACTGAGGTTGACTTGAGTTGACTGCACCTTACAATCCTGAACGTCTACAGCCCTCTGCCCTCCCTTCTCCTCCTGTCTCTACCTGCTTTGCTCCCCTCCCTACAAGCACCTGTACAGGCAGGTAGCCCTAGATACATCTGCCATGCACGCCACGTTTCAGTTTGCTGAATGGTCGGCAAGAGGCACCCGCCCACTCTTCCTACCCCCGTCTCTCTTCCTCTCCACCTCCCGCCTTCTTGTCCCCTCCCCACCAGCACCTGTATCGCACGGTAGGCCTGGACTGAAGCCCCATGCATGCCATGCACGCCATATGTCTCTCGCCCGCCCAACCCCACCCGTTGTATTTTGAGTCAACTCAAAATAACAACTGGACAAGCTGACACACGGTTTATCTCCGGCCGACGTGCATTGATTGCATGGAAGCTGCCAAAGAAGATCAAGGATTTTATAGTCTCAGCAAGGAAATGCTAGTTTAGTGTTTCAAATTTGTTACACTTATCTAGTTTTTTGCTAGGCTACAGTGACCCTTCTCGGGGATGGTGTGGACCCTCGAGGTTTTTCTCGGGTCGCACTCTCACTATTTAGACAGCTCGAATGCTCCGATGTTCAGTAGATGCTGATGAAGGCTTGTATAAGCCAAAACTAGTTCATCACTGGTTTTCCATCAAAACTTCCTGAACATCCCTTCAGCTCGAGCTTTTTCAGAACCGCTGCCTCGCAAGGCTTTTTCCACCATGGTTAGCCCTGAAAAATATGTGTCCATTGGTCTGCACGCCATATGTCTCTCGCCCGCCCAACCCCCACCCCCTTCCTCCCCAAGCAGCACTGTACCGCAAGATAGGTCTGGAGCCATACGCCATGCACGCCACCTTCCAGTTTACCGGCACGGGCGGCAAGAGGCATCGCTTCAGAGAGGCCATGGCGTTCATTGACCCGCCTGAGTACTACGACCCTCCAGGTGAGGCTCGACCCCCCAGTGGGGGGGCTGGTATCATAGGCATAGATGGGATTACTGGGACACACAGACAACATGAAGCACCGCTTCCAGCTGTGGCGTTCGATAACCCCCCCGAGCATCACAACGTGCCAAGTGGGGATTGTGCAGGTGGTTGTGGATAGTACTCCCAAGCTACAGCCGCCCGAGTACTGCAACCCTCCCCATGCGGATTCTGAGGCTGGTAGAACCTTCTTGGTAACTTGATTGCTGGCCTTTCTTCTCCTGTCTCACCTGCCTTCGCTTTGTACGTACTATGAGGCACTCAAGGTACATAGTAGGTGCAACCACCTTTGTCAAAATCACCTAGTGGTTGCTTGTCATCCCACGTACCATGATGCACGTCCCATATGATATTGTGATGTGGCGGCGTGCCAGGTGGCGTGTTGTCATTCGTGAACAACATCCCGGAGGAGCTCCTGACTGGGGGGATCACTCCCTGCAAACCCACTTCAACCTCGCCAACTACCAGGTGAGTCAGTTACCAGGTGTGCGGACAAGATGTGTGGTGTGGAAACCACTCAAGTGGTACTACCCTCCTCCTACCCCTCCTCCTCCTCCCCCTCATCGTCGTCGTCGTCGTCCTCTCCTCCTCTTCCTCCTCTCCTCCTCGTCCTCCTCGTCGTCGTCGTCGTCGTCGTCCTCCTCCTCCTCCCTCCTCCTCCCTCCTCCTCCTCTCTCCTCCTCCTCCTCTCCTCCTCCTCCTCCTCCCTCCTCCTCCTCCTCCTCCTTCTCCTCTCGCTCCTCTCTCCCTCCTCCTCCTCCTCCTCCTCCTCCTCGCCTCGGCCTCCTCCTCCTCCTCGGCCTCCTCCTCCTCCTCGGCCTCCTCCTCCTCCTCCTCCTCGGCCTCCTCCTCCTCCTCCGGCCTCCTCCCCCTCCTCGGCCTCCTCCTCCTCCTCCTCCTCCTCAGCCTCCTCCTCCTCCTCTCCTCCTCGCCTCCTCCTCCTCCTCCCTCCTCCTCCTCCTCCTCCTCCTCCTCCTCCTCCTCCCTCCTCTCCTCCTCCTCCTCCTCCTCCTCCTCCTCCCTCCTCATCTTCCTCCTCTTCCTCCCTCCTCCTCCTCCCTCCTCCTCCTCCTCCTCCTCCTCCCTCCTCCTCCTCCTCCGACCCCCCCCTCCGACCTCTCCCCCTCTCCCACGCCGAGATCCCATGGTCCGCGGACTTCCTCCTCCTTGTCCTCCTCGTCCTCCTCGTCGTCGTCCTCCTCCTCCGTGCCCTCTTCCCCTTCCCCTTCCCCTTACCTGCCCCTTCTCATTCCCCTTCCCCTTCCCTTCCCCTTCCCCTTCCCCTTCCCTTTCCCTTTCCCCGAGCCCTTTGCCTTCTTCGAACACTTCACGGTGGAGGTCTTCCTTTCCTCGTCTTCCTCTCGCTGATGCTCCCAAAGGACTCCCAATCAATAGTGCACTCAACCGCTCCCTCCACCCCCTCCTCCTCCGCCTCCACCTCCTCCCCCTCCCCCTCTTCCTCTTGGGAGGTGGGTGGAGCGGGGCCAGAGCTCCCTTCTCCAAGCACGCTAGCGCCTAGGTTTTGGTACAGGCGGTCCCGAGCCGCAACCTTCCTATCGAAAGCCTTCCTCGAGCGCTGGCTGATCACCACCACCGTGACTAGGCATGAGCAACCGAGTTGAGTTTCTGACTCGACTCGTCAACTTGGCTCGCCTTTTGGCGAGTCGAGTTTTTTTTTGTGCTCTTCCGACTCATCCCGAGTCGAGTCGAGTTGAGTCGGTCAAGTCACGAGTCAAAGCTCGAACGGCTTGTCCAACATTTTCGGCCGAGTCACGGCCGTGACGTCAATCAAGGTGGGAGGCGTTCATCCGGTTGGGATCTTGACGTCGCACCCGTGCGAATGCGACCACGCTCGCTCCACCTCGGATATGGTCGTGGGTTGGGAGAGCACCTTCACCGCGATCTCCTGCAACGCCCTCACCTCCTCTCCAAAGGTGGTCAACCATTCCGCCTCCGAGAGCCGCCCACTCTCCTCAAGGTGAGTGGTGGCCCACCGTGCTTCCAAACTGCCCAACGTCCCCTCCTCGCTATGGGAGTGTGCGAGTTGGGTCTGGAGGAGTGTGCGGTGCTGAATGGTCGCCTGCCACGCCTACGTCACCCTTTTCACCCCCTTACCAATCTCCAAGTCGGTCCTCACTTCCTTGGCAAAACGGTTATGGGGGTTGAGTAGCCAACCCACAGTATGGAGCGGGTTGTGGAGTTGGCCGTCCCAACGTGCTGCTATGATCCTTTGCACCTTGGTCAAGAATGATGCCTTGTTCGTGGCCAAGAGGAGCCATGTTCTCTTGATGAAGAATGTGGCTGAAAACAAATTCAGAGAACAACGGTTTGATGCGGGTTAGTAAGGGCCGGAAAGGTAGGGTCTGCGAATTGCCATCGACCGTACAAATAAGGTACGCAACGGAATATGGGCGGAGGGGGATGGGCAAGTATTTGCGGCCTCCGCGACCTTGTTGGTCTTCATTGTCACATCGAGCATCAACCCATAGATGCGCCCCATGAGGTGAGAACGGGTGTCCACCGCCCGAAGCACCTCATAAATCGGCATCAACAACTTTTGCACCGCCTCCACCGAGCTTTAAAAGCCTCGTCTAGGAGAAGGCTTTGAATCCGCTTCCCCTTCTTCGTTTCGCTGCAGGCACCCGTGCACTCCTTGCTAATCACCATGCTCTTCAACTGCTTTTTACCTCCAAGAAACGGCCCACCGTAAGGACTTGTGTGCCAAATTGAGTAGCCTCGGGACGACTAGTTCCAACTCACTAAAGACCTCTCGAAAGAGGGTCACGGCGGTGGCGCTAGCCCACGAGCATGGCTACTTGGTGCGCTTGCCACAGGACCTTCTGCACCACGCCTATCATCCCAAGGTCACTGAGCATCCAGTCTAGGCAATGCGCCGCACAATTGGTGAAGAATACCATGGGGAATCCTTCACCAAGGTCAGCGCCACCCTCTTGTTGTTGCTCGCGTTGTCCACCACGACTTGGACAACGCGAGTATGTCCTACCTTGCAAATCGCACCCTTGCGAAGTCGGATTTGCACTTCGCGATATTCTTGAATTTCGACGCAGGGGTGCCGTAAAGGTGCTCTTGGATGCGTGTCGCACTACCCGAAATGTTCAAACTGCAGTGCAAGCATTCCGACCGTATGACCTTACCATCGTCATCACAAGTATGCTTCACATGCGCCGACAAAGGGGATGGTGCGCGGGCATGGCGATAAGGCGCCTACGCCTCGCGAAGCTGTTGTGCGCTAGATCGCGCCTGAAATACGCGCTGGAATCGGCGTGAAGTAGTTCAGCCACGCTGGGTGGGCGGAGTTTTGCTACTAATTCTATAATGCTAGACTAATGAATGCTCTCTGTTGCTGCTCTGTAATTTGTATCTCTAGCGCGTAAGGTTTAGTTGGGTTAGGGTTGCAAGAGCGGGTTGGGAGGGGTGAAATTGCGATTTCGAAATGCGACTCGGTTGCGTGAGTCGCACAATTCGCGACAGCCCGCTATTGGGCGCGATCGAAATCGCCAGCCCCTTGCGAAACCGATTTTGGTTTCGCAACAGGTCTGGCGAGAATTCCAAAATGCGCTCCCGGGACACGCGAAATTTCGCGCTTCGGGAATGTGTTGACCGAACATTCAGGGACGGTTGGGTGTATACCAGCCGTTCGAATTCGGTGTCAAATTCGAGTTGGTGCAGTACACCCACGATTTTAAAACTTCGACCGTATAAAACAACCATTTTTTTTCAACCAAAGAAAAGCTAACTTTCAGAACCGTTTTAAACCGTTTAATACAGCCGAAAAATACGGGACCGTAACAAACGGTCTAAAAAAGAAAAAAAAAAAACACCGTTTTTTTTTACCTTGCTGTCGGTCAAGCCCCAGCTGCTGCTGACTGCGGGGATCACTCCCTGCAAACCCATTTCAACCTTGTCAACGAGTTGGTATTGTTTTTTACAATTCCCCTCTGTGCCTCTCTGTGCTTCTCCCCTGCTTCTCTGTGCCTCTCCGTGCTCCCGTCTTGCAGCTAACCAATCTCAGATCAGCTCTCGCCATTGCAACCATACTCAACCGAACGCTGGTTAGTCTGCCCCCTCTGCCTCTTAGCCTCTAGTCTGGCTGTTTTAACAGGCATCTAAAAAGTAGATGCCTCATTTGTCGGCCCTGTTGTCGACCCTGTGGAGGATGAAGTGAGCTTTTCATCCCAGCAACGCCTTTGCCTTGCTGGAGGTTACTTCAGGGGCGCCTTACAAAATAGCTGCCTCATTTCTCCCCCCTGGACCACCGGGTCGAGCATTGGAGTGGAGGTGCAGTGAGTGAGCCTTCCCATCCCAGCAACGTGTTTGCCCTTCTGGAGGTGAAGAGGGTTCAGCCGCTTCCTTTCTGTTCCAACACCGCCTTTAAATATCGGCCTGCCTCTCCCCGCAGGTACTACCCACCACATGGGTGTGCTTTCACCGAATCTAGTTGACCACATGGTGGTGCAGCGAACCTTGCTGTCCCCGCAACCGCTTTCCTTTGCCCTGCTGCAGATACAGCCGAGTCATCTGCTCCCTTCCTCTCCCCACAAATCCTTCGCCCTGCCTTTCTTCTCAGGTGCTCCCAGCCACATGGGTCCGGTTTGACCGACTCTGTTTCCCACACCTAGGGATTGTAGAAGGCACTGACACACCACAGCCGTTCCTGTCGCCCCTGGCGAGCCAAGTCGAGCCAGGCTCGGCATGCTGCCCATGTCTAACTTGAATTGACTGGAAGATGGGGCCTGATGTCAACCCCGAGATCAAGGATAAAGCGTCTTGGGCGTTCGATGGCAGTCTGAAGCTGGGATACTGCCTGTCTCGTTTATGCCTGAGCAACGGCACGGCCGGCTCGGCCCGGCCCGGTTTTGGGTCGGCTCGGTTAGAAACCGAGCCGGGCCAGGCCGGCCTGTCCCGGGCCGGATTCCCAGATTTGTCGGCCCGGCCCGGGTTTCTAGACCTGGGCTGACCTTGGCCCGGTGGCCGGACTGGTCCGGCCCGGTCTAAAATCGGGCCAAAACCGGGCCAGCCGGCCCGGGACTCCTTTTTTACTGTTTCGGGTGGGGTATTGATGGGGGGATGTCGTGCTTTGCTCTGCCAGATTTCCTAGGTGGTTGTCGCCCCTTGTAACGTGTCTCATGGTCCCCTAAATGCGCAGGATAAGCAGCTATGCATGGGAGGTGGCACACAAGGCCATGAACCATTGGTTTTTAGGCCGTTGGCTAGGGCAGGCCCTCATGCTATCGAAAATCCAGAATCAGGCAGTCATGTATGCACGTTACCAAGCCTAATAAATAAAGTACCAAAGAGGACCCATGGCACATTGCCGGGTCCTTGGAATGACGTGATAATGTCCAATCCAATCCCAACCTGCACCACCAACCCCAATCCCACTCAAAGTCCCTCATCATCCCCCTCAAGGGACACTCCTCTAGTTGCCTTAGATTCTTTCGCCCCTGCCCAGCCCCCGCCTTGCCCCCTCCCTTTCCTGCAGCAGCGCCGAGGGCGTGCCTACACCGCCCTCCATTGCCTCGTCGAGAGGGGTGTCCCCTCGCTGCCCACCACGCGGCGATCCTCCCCCCCCCCCCCCCCCCCACGACCTTCACCGTACCCTGCGCCGCCCGTTCCACGCGGCCGACCGGCGGAGGTGTGTGCCCTTCCCCATTGCCAGCCCCCCCCCTGTGCGATGCCCTCCCTGCCCTAGCGTCTTTGCCCTACCCACCACCTCCGGGCCTCCTGTCATTCCTTCTCCCCGCCTACGCTGTTTTTGGCAGGCCGTCGCTGGACTCCTCGGACAACTCCTCCCCACTGATGCGGTACTCTTCGTCATCATCCCCCGCCTGCCCAGAAACCTCGCGCTCTCCCATCTCCTCCTCCCCCCCCCCTCCTCAGCCGTTCCCCGGTGGATGTGTGAGCCCATCGGGCAGCATCACCTGCTGGAGGGCCCCTCGAAACCCATAACTACTAACCCCACCAGCGCTCGCCCCCGCGATCGTGCTCTGACGCGACGTTCCACCAAAATCGCCCATTGCCTCGATTCGAGCACCACCAACTTCGCCTCACGCCTAGTGACGCGCGGAACCTTCAGCTATTCAGAGTGGCAGGCCAAATCGCAGGCCAACCATGCTACTACAAATTGTAAATCGAAATAAATGTAATGTCAAAGGTAGGTTGAGATCGTTTGACGAGTAACGTTGGTAGTTTACGAACAAGTCACTGTGGAGAAATGCGATTCGTAACTTGAGTAACGCGCCAAAGGAGTCTCATGAAAAACGGATCTGTGGCGCTCGGCGATTTTCAGAGGGGGTACGTTTCTAGGGTAGAGAGAACAGCGCACTACTTTTCCTAGCCAGAAATCGTCGCGCAAGAGAAATGCATCCGTAGATCTACCCTAAATTATGGGTAGCAGTTGTCTCTGGACTAAAACGATGGTGGCTGCCACGGATCCTAGGGTTAGGAGCCCCTAGATGCCTACGTAGTTGGTTGCGACTCTTGTCTGCTGTGAAAATGAGTCGTGATGGTAAAAAAATCGACTTCATTGTCGAATCTTTGACCCCGCGGATGACCGAGCCGCGCAGGCCAGGCTACGGCCCGCACTTCAGGCCAGGCCAGCCCGGCCCGACTTCGGGAACGCGGCCCGACGACGGGCCTGTCCGGACCGGTCCGGCCCGTTCAGCTCGTCGGACCGGTCCGGACGGCCCGGCCCAGCGGGCCAAACCCGGACCGGCCCGCTCCGCTCGGGCCGGTACCCTTCAAAGTATTGGCCCGGTCCGGGAAAATTCTGGACCGGTCCGGACCGGCCCCGGTCCGTCCTGGCCTTTTGCTCATGCCTAGTCTCGTTGTTCTGCTCGGGCCACACCTACTTTGTCCAGGTGAGGCCTGCAGTTGACTTGTGTTGACTGGGCGTGACCTCAGTTGACTGTGAAGCTGGGGCCGGTGTGAACCCCGAGGGGAACGATAACCGGTTCTGGGCGTTCGGTGGGAGTCTGAAGCGTGGGATATTGCATGTGGCACTGTTTTTCTCGGGCCACACTTACTTTGTGCTGGTGAGGCTGCATTTGACTGTGGTTGACTGAGGTTGACTTGAGTTGACTGCACCTTACAATCCTGAACGTCTACAGCCCTCTGCCTCCCTTCTCTCCTGTCTCTACCTGCTTTGCTCCCCTCCCTACAAGCACCTGTACAGGCAGGTAGCCCTAGATACATCTGCCATGCACGCCACGTTTCAGTTTGCTGAATGGTCGGCAAGAGGCACCCGCCCACTCTTCCTACCCCCGTCTCTCTTCCTCTCCACCTCCCGCCTTCTTGTCCCCTCCCCACCAGCACCTGTATCGCACGGTAGGCCTGGACTGAAGCCCCATGCCATGCCATGCACGCCATATGTCTCTCGCCCGCCCAACCCCCACCCCGTTGTATTTTGAGTCAACTCAAAATACAACTGGACAAGCTGACACACGGTTTATTCTCCGGCCGACGTGCATTGATTGCATGGAAGCTGCCAAAGAAGATCAAGGATTTTATAGTCTCAGCAAGGAAAATGCTAGTTTAGTGTTTCAAATTTGTTACACTTATCTAGTTTTTTGCTAGGCTACAGTGACCCTTCTCGGGGATGGTGTGGACCCTCGAGTTTTTTCTCGGGTCGCACTCTCACTATTTAGACAGCTCGAATGCTCCGATGTTCAGTAGATGCTGATGAAGGCTTGTATAAGCCAAAACTAGTTCATCACTGGTTTTCCATCAAAACTTCCTGAACATCCCTTCAGCTCGAGCTTTTTCAGAACCGCTGCCTCGCAAGGCTTTTTCCACCATGGTTAGCCCTGAAAAATATGTGTCCATTGGTCTGCACGCCATATGTCTCTCGCCCGCCCAACCCCCACCCCCTTCCTCCCCAAGCAGCACCTGTACCGCAAGATAGGTCTGGAGCCATACGCCATGCACGCCACCTTCCAGTTTACCGGCACGGGCGGCAAGAGGCATCGCTTCAGAGAGGCCATGGCGTTCATTGACCCGCCTGAGTACTACGACCCTCCAGGTGAGGCTCGACCCCCAGTGGGGGGGGCTGGTATCATAGGCATAGATGGGATTACTGGGGACACACAGACAACATGAAGCACCGCTTCCAGCTGTGGCGTTCGATAACCCCCCCGAGCATCACAACGTGCCAAGTGGGGATTGTGCAGGTGGTTGTGGATAGTACTCCCAAGCTACAGCCGCCCGAGTACTGCAACCCTCCCCATGCGGATTCTGGAGGGCTGGTAGAACCTTCTTGGTAAACTTGATTGGCTGGCCTTTCTTCTCCTGTCTCACCTGCCTTCGCTTTGTACGTACTATGAGGCACTCAAGGTACATAGTAGGTGCAACCACTTTGTCAAAATCACCTAGTGGTTGCTTGTCATCCACGTACCATGATGCACGTCCCATATGATATTGTGATGTGGCGGGCGTGCCAGGTGGCGTGTTGTCATTCGTGAACAACATCCCGGAGGAGCTCCTGACTGGGGGGGATCACTCCCTGCAAACCCACTTCAACCTCGCCAACTACCAGGTGAGTCAGTTACCAGGTGTGCGGACAAGATGTGTGGTGTGGAAACCACTCAAGTGGTACTACCCCTCCTCCTACCCCTCCTCCTCCTCCCCCTCATCGTCGTCGTCGTCGTCCTCCTCCTCCTCTTCCTCCTCCTCCTCCTCGTCCTCCTCGTCGTCGTCGTCGTCGTCGTCCTCCTCCTCCTCCTCCTCCTCCTCCTCCTCCTCCTCCTCCTCCTCCTCCTCCTCCTCCTCCTCCTCCTCCCCCTCCTCCTCCTCCTCCTCCTTCCTCCTCCTCCTCCTCCTCCTCCTCCTCCTCCTGCCTCCTCCTCCTCCTCGGCCTCCTCCTCCTCCTCGGCCTCCTCCTCCTCCTCGGCCTCCTCCTCCTCCTCCTCCTCGGCCTCCTCCTCCTCCCTCGGCCTCCTCCCCCTCCTCGGCCTCCTCCTCCTCCTCCTCCTCCTCAGCCTCCTCCTCCTCCTCCTCCTCGGCCTCCTCCTCCTCGGCCTCCTCCTCCTCCTCCTCCTCCTCCTCCTCCTCCTCCTCCTCCTCCTCCTCCTCCTCCTCCTCCTCCTCCTCCTCCTCCTCCTCCTCATCTTCCTCCTCTTCCTCCTCCTCCTCTCCTCCTCCTCCTCCTCCTCCTCCTCCTCCTCCTCCTCCTCCTCCTCCGACCCCCCCCTCCGACCTCTCCCCCCTCTCCCACGCCGAGATCCCATGGTCCGCGGACTTCCTCCTCCTTGTCCTCCTCGTCCTCCTCGTCGTCGTCCTCCTCCTCCCGTGCCCTCTTCCCCTTCCCCTTCCCCTTACCCTGCCCCTTCTCATTCCCCTTCCCCTTCCCTTCCCCTTCCCCTTCCCCTTCCCCTTCCCTTTCCCTTTCCCCGAGCCCTTTGCCTTCTTCGAACACTTCACGGTGGAGGTCTTCCCTTTCCTCGTCTTCCTCTCGCTGATGCTCCCAAAGGACTCCCAATCAATAGTGCACTCAACCGCTCCCTCCACCCCCTCCTCCTCCGCCTCCACCTCCTCCCCTCCCCCTCTTCCTCTTGGGAGGTGGGTGGAGCGGGGCCAGAGCTCCCTTCTCCAAGCACGCTAGCGCCTAGGTTTTGGTACAGGCGGTCCCGAGCCGCAACCTTCCTATCGAAAGCCTTCCTCGAGCGCTGGCTGATCACCACCACCGTGACTAGGCATGAGCAACCGAGTTGAGTTTCTGACTCGACTCGTCAACTTGGCTCGCCTTTTGGCGAGTCGAGTTTTTTTTTGTGCTCTTCCGACTCATCCCGAGTCGAGTCGAGTTGAGTCGGTCAAGTCACGAGTCAAAGCTCGAACGGCTTGTCCAACATTTTCGGCCGAGTCACGGCCGTGACGTCAATCAAGGTGGGAGGCGTTCATCCGGTTGGGATCTTGACGTCGCACCCGTGCGAATGCGACCACGCTCGCTCCACCTCGGATATGGTCGTGGGTTGGGAGAGCACCTTCACCGCGATCTCCTGCAACGCCCTCACCTCCTCTCCAAAGGTGGTCAACCATTCCGCCTCCGAGAGCCGCCCACTCTCCTCAAGGTGAGTGGTGGCCCACCGTGCTTCCAAACTGCCCAACGTCCCCTCCTCGCTATGGGAGTGTGCGAGTTGGGTCTGGAGGAGTGTGCGGTGCTGAATGGTCGCCTGCCACGCCTACGTCACCCTTTTCACCCCCTTACCAATCTCCAAGTCGGTCCTCACTTCCTTGGCAAAAACGGTTATGGGGGTTGAGTAGCCAACCCACAGTATGGAGCGGGTTGTGGAGTTGGCCGTCCCAACGTGCTGCTATGATCCTTTGCACCTTGGTCAAGAATGATGCCTTGTTCGTGGCCAAGAGGAGCCATGTTCTCTTGATGAAGAATGTGGCTGAAAACAAATTCAGAGAACAACGGTTTGATGCGGGTTAGTAAGGGCCGGAAAGGTAGGGTCTGCGAATTGCCATCGACCGTACAAATAAGGTACGCAACGGAATATGGGCGGAGGGGGGATGGGCAAGTATTTGCGGCCTCCGCGACCTTGTTGGTCTTCATTGTCACATCGAGCATCAACCCATAGATGCGCCCCATGAGGTGAGAACGGGTGTCCACCGCCCGAAGCACCTCATAAATCGGCATCAACAACTTTTTGCACCGCCTCCACCGAGCTTTAAAAAGCCTCGTCTAGGAGAAGGCTTTGAATCCGCTTCCCCTTCTTCGTTTTCGCTGCAGGCACCCGTGCACTCCTTGCTAATCACCATGCTCTTCAACTGCTTTTTACCTCCAAGAAACGGCCCACCGTAAGGACTTGTGTGCCAAATTGAGTAGCCTCGGGACGGACTAGTTCCAACTCACTAAAGACCTCTCGAAAGAGGGTCACGGCGGTGGCGCTAGCCCACGAGCATGGCTACTTGGTGCGCTTGCCACAGGACCTTCTGCACCACGCCTATCATCCCAAGGTCACTGAGCATCCAGTCTAGGCAATGCGCCGCACAATTGGTGAAGAATACCATGGGGAATCCTTCACCAAGGTCAGCCGCCACCCTCTTGTTGTTGCTCGCGTTGTCCACCACGACTTGGACAACGCGAGTATGTCCTACCTTGCAAATCGCACCCTTGCGAAGTCGGATTTGCACTTCGCGATATTCTTGAATTTCGACGCAGGGGTGCCGTAAAGGTGCTCTTGGATGCGTGTCGCACTACCCGAAATGTTCAAACTGCAGTGCAAGCATTCCGACCGTATGACCTTACCATCGTCATCACAAGTATGCTTCACATGCCGCCCACAAAGGGGATGGTGCGCGGGGCATGGCGATAAGGCGCCTACGCCTCGCGAAGCTGTTGTGCGCTAGATCGCGCCTGAAATACGCGCTGGAATCGGCGTGAAGTAGTTCAGCCACGCTGGGTGGGCGGAGTTTTGCTACTAATTCTATAATGCTAGACTAATGAATGCTCTCTGTTGCTGCTCTGTAATTTGTATCTCTAGCGCGTAAGGTTTAGTTGGGTTAGGGTTGCAAGAGCGGGTTGGGAGGGGTGAAATTGCGATTTCGAAATGCGACTCGGTTGCGTGAGTCGCACAATTCGCGACAGCCCGCTATTGGGCGCGATCGAAATCGCCAGCCCCTTGCGAAACCGATTTTGGTTTCGCAACAGGTCTGGCGAGAATTCCAAAATGCGCTCCTCGGGACACGCGAAATTTCGCGCTTCGGGAATGTGTTGACCGAACATTCAGGGACGGTTGGGTGTATACCCAGCCGTTCGAATTCGGTGTCAAATTCGAGTTGGTGCAGTACACCCACGATTTTAAAACTTCGACCGTATAAAACAACCATTTTTTTCAACCAAAGAAAAGCTAACTTTCAGAACCGTTTTAAACCGTTTAATACAGCCGAAAAATACGGGACCGTAACAAACGGTCTAAAAAAGAAAAAAAAAAAACACACCGTTTTTTTTTACCTTGCTGTCGGGTCAAGCCCCAGCTGCTGCTGACTGCGGGGGATCACTCCCTGCAAACCCATTTCAACCTTGTCAACGAGTTGGTATTGTTTTTTACAATTCCCCTCTGTGCCTCTCTGTGCTTCTCCCCTGCTTCTCTGTGCCTCTCCGTGCTCCCGTCTTGCAGCTAACCAATCTCAGATCAGCTCTCGCCATTGCAACCATACTCAACCCGAACGCTGGTTAGTCTGCCCCTCTGCCTCTTAGCCTCTAGTCTGGCTGTTTTAACAGGCATCTAAAAGTAGATGCCTCATTTGTCGGCCCTGTTGTCGACCCTGTGGAGGATGAAGTGAGCTTTTCATCCCAGCAACGCCTTTGCCTGCTGGAGGTTACTTCAGGGGCGCCTTACAAAATAGCTGCCTCATTTCTCCCCCCTGGACCACCGGGTCGAGCATTGGAGTGGAGGTGCAGTGAGTGAGCCTTCCCATCCCAGCAACGTGTTTTGCCCTTCTGGAGGTGAAGAGGGTTCAGCCGCTTCCTTTCTGTTCCAACACCGCCTTTAAATATCGGCCTGCTCTCCCGCAGGTACTACCCACCACATGGGTGTGCTTTCACCGAATCTAGTTGACCACATGGTGGTGCAGCGAACCTTGCTGTCCCCGCAACCGCTTTCCTTTGCCCTGCTGCAGATACAGCCGAGTCATCTGCTCCTTCCTCTCCCCACAAATCCTTCGCCCTGCCTTTCTTCTCAGGTGCTCCCAGCCACATGGGTCCGGTTTGACCGACTCTGTTTTCCCACACCTAGGGATTGTAGAAGGCACTGACACACCACAGCCGTTCCTGTCGCCCCTGGCGAGCCAAGTCGAGCCAGGCTCGGCATGCTGCCCATGTCTAACTTGAATTGACTGGAAGATGGGGCCTGATGTCAACCCCGAGATCAAGGATAAAAGCGTCTTGGGCGTTCGATGGCAGTCTGAAGCTGGGGATACTGCCTGTCTCGTTTATGCCTGAGCAACGGCACGGCCGGCTCGGCCCGGCCCGGTTTTGGGTCGGCTCGGTTAGAAACCGAGCCGGGCCAGGCCGGCCTGTCCCGGGCCGGATTCCCAGATTTGTCGGCCCGGCCCGGGTTTCTAGACCTGGGCTGACCTTGGCCCGGTGGCCGGACTGGTCCGGCCCGGTCTAAAATCGGGCCAAAACCGGGCCCAGCCGGCCCGGGACTCCTTTTTTACTGTTTCGGGTGGGGTATTGATGGGGGGATGTCGTGCTTTGCTCTGCCAGATTTCCTAGGTGGTTGTCGCCCCTTGTAACGTGTCTCATGGTCCCCTAAATGCGCAGGATAAGCAGCTATGCATGGGAGGTGGCACACCAAGGCCATGAACCATTGGTTTTTAGGCCGTTGGCTAGGGCAGGCCCTCATGCTATCGAAAATCCAGAATCAGGCAGTCATGTATGCACGTTACCAAGCCTAATAAATAAAGTACCAAGAGGACCCATGGCACATTGCCGGGTCCTTGGAATGACGTGATAATGTCCAATCCAATCCCCAACCTGCACCACCAACCCCAATCCCACTCAAAGTCCCTCATCATCCCCTCAGGGACACTCCTCTAGTTGCCTTAGATTCTTTCGCCCCTGCCCAGCCCCCGCCTTGCCCCTCCCTTTCCTGCAGCAGCGCCGAGGGCGTGCCTACACCGCCCTCCATTGCCTCGTCGAGAGGGGTGTCCCCTCGCTGCCCACCACGCGGCGATCCTCCCCCCCCCCCCCCCCCCCCCCACGACCTTCACCGTACCCTGCGCCGCCCGTTCCACGCGGCCGACCGCGCGGAGGTGTGTGCCCTTCCCCATTGCCAGCCCCCCCCTGTGCGATGCCCTCCCTGCCCTAGCGTCTTTGCCCTACCCACCACCTCCGGGCCTCCTGTCATTCCCTTCTCCCCGCCTACGCTGTTTTGGCAGGCCGTCGCTGGACTCCTCGGACAACTCCTCCCCACTGATGCGGTACTCTTCGTCATCATCCCCCGCCTGCCCAGAAACCTCGCGCTCTCCCATCTCCTCCTCCCCCCCCCTCCTCAGCCGTTCCCCGGTGGATGTGTGAGCCCATCGGGCAGCATCACCTGCTGGAGGGCCCCTCGAAACCCATAACTACTAACCCCACCAGCGCTCGCCCCCGCGATCGTGCTCTGACGCGACGTTCCACCAAAATCGCCCATTGCCTCGATTCGAGCACCACCAACTTCGCCTCACGCCTAGTGACGCACGGAACCTTCAGCTATTCAGAGTGGCAGGCCAAATCGCAGGCCAACCATGCTACTACAAATTGTAAATCGAAATAAATGTAATGTCAAAGGTAGGTTGAGATCGTTTGACGAGTAACGTTGGTAGTTTACGAACAAGTCACTGTGGAGAAATGCGATTCGTAACTTGAGTAACGCGCCAAAGGAGTCTCATGAAAACGGATCTGTGGCGCTCGGCGATTTTCAGAGGGGGTACGTTTTCTAGGGTAGAGAGAACAGCGCACTACTTTTCCTAGCCAGAAATCGTCGCGCAAGAGAAATGCATCCGTAGATCTACCCTAAATTATGGGTAGCAGTTGTCTCTGGACTAAAACGATGGTGGCTGCCACGGATCCTAGGGTTAGGAGCCCCTAGATGCCTACGTAGTTGGTTGCGACTCTTGTCTGCTGTGAAAATGAGTCGTGATGGTAAAAAAATCGACTTCATTGTCGAATCTTTGACCCCGCGGATGACCGAGCCGCGCAGGCCAGGCTACGGCCCGCACTTCAGGCCAGGCCAGCCCGGCCCGACTTCGGGAACGCGGCCCGACGACGGGCCTGTCCGGACCGGTCCGGCCCGTTCAGCTCGTCGGACCGGTCCGGACCGGCCCGGCCCAGCGGGCCAAACCCGGACCGGCCCGCTCCGCTCGGGCCGGTACCCTTCAAAGTATTGGCCCGGTCCGGGAAAATTCTGGACCGGTCCGGACCGGCCCGGTCCGTCCTGGCCTTTTGCTCATGCCTAGTCTCGTTGTTCTGCTCGGGCCACACCTACTTTGTCCAGGTGAGGCCTGCAGTTGACTTGTGTTGACTGGGCGTGACCTCAGTTGACTGTGAAGCTGGGGCCGGTGTGAACCCCGAGGGGAACGATAACCGGTTCTGGGCGTTCGGTGGGAGTCTGAAGCGTGGGATATTGCATGTGGCACTGTTTTTCTCGGGCCACACTTACTTTTGTGCTGGTGAGGCTGCATTTGACTGTGGTTGACTGAGGTTGACTTGAGTTGAACTGCACCTTACAATCCTGAACGTCTACAGCCCTCTGCCCTCCTTCTCCTCCTGTCTCTACCTGCTTTGCTCCCCTCCCTACAAGCACCTGTACAGGCAGGTAGCCCTAGATACATCTGCCATGCACGCCACGTTTCAGTTTTGCTGAATGGTCGGCAAGAGGCACCCGCCCACTCTTCCTACCCCCCGTCTCTCTTCCTCTCCACCTCCCGCCTTCTTGTCCCCTCCCCACCAGCACCTGTATCGCACGGTAGGCCTGGACTGAAGCCCCATGCCATGCCATGCACGCCATATGTCTCTCGCCGCCCAACCCCCACCCCGTTGTATTTTGAGTCAACTCAAAATACAACTGGACAAGCTGACACACGGTTTATTCTCCGGCCGACGTGCATTGATTGCATGGAAGCTGCCAAAGAAGATCAAGGATTTTATAGTCTCAGCAAGGAAATGCTAGTTTAGTGTTTCAAATTTGTTACACTTATCTAGTTTTTTGCTAGGCTACAGTGACCCCTTCTCGGGGATGGTGTGGACCCTCGAGTTTTTTCTCGGGTCGCACTCTCACTATTTAGACAGCTCGAATGCTCCGATGTTCAGTAGATGCTGATGAAGGCTTGTATAAGCCAAAACTAGTTCATCACTGGTTTTCCATCAAAACTTCCTGAACATCCCTTCAGCTCGAGCTTTTTCAGAACCGCTGCCTCGCAAGGCTTTTTCCACCATGGTTAGCCCTGAAAAATATGTGTCCATTGGTCTGCACGCCATATGTCTCTCGCCCGCCCAACCCCACCCCCTTCCTCCCCAAGCAGCACCTGTACCGCAAGATAGGTCTGGAGCCATACGCCATGCACGCCACCTTCCAGTTTACCGGCACGGGCGGCAAGAGGCATCGCTTCAGAGAGGCCATGGCGTTCATTGACCCGCCTGAGTACTACGACCCTCCAGGTGAGGCTCGACCCCCCAGTGGGGGGGCTGGTATCATAGGCATAGATGGGATTACTGGGACACACAGACAACATGAAGCACCGCTTCCAGCTGTGGCGTTCGATAACCCCCCCGAGCATCACAACGTGCCAAGTGGGGATTGTGCAGGTGGTTGTGGATAGTACTCCCAAGCTACAGCGCCCGAGTACTGCAACCCTCCCCATGCGGATTCTGAGGCTGGTAGAACCTTCTTGGTAACTTGATTGCTGGCCTTTCTTCTCCTGTCTCACCTGCCTTCGCTTTGTACGTACTATGAGGCACTCAAGGTACATAGTAGGTGCAACCACCTTTGTCAAAATCACCTAGTGGTTGCTTGTCATCCCACGTACCATGATGCACGTCCCATATGATATTGTGATGTGGCGGCGTGCCAGGTGGCGTGTTGTCATTCGTGAACAACATCCCGGAGGAGCTCCTGACTGGGGGGGATCACTCCCTGCAAACCCACTTCAACCTCGCCAACTACCAGGTGAGTCAGTTACCAGGTGTGCGGACAAGATGTGTGGTGTGGAAACCACTCAAGTGGTACTACCCCTCCTCCTACCCCTCCTCCTCCCCCTCATCGTCGTCGTCGTCGTCCTCCTCCTCCTCTTCCTCCTCCTCCTCCTCGTCCTCCTCGTCGTCGTCGTCGTCGTCGTCCTCCTCCTCCTCCTCCTCCTCCTCCTCCTCCTCCTCCTCCTCCTCCTCCTCCTCCTCCTCCTCCTCCCCTCCTCCTCCTCCTCCTCCTTCCTCCTCCTCCTCCTCCTCCTCCTCCTCCTCCTCCTCCTCCTCGGCCTCGGCCTCCTCCTCCTCCTCGGCCTCCTCCTCCTCCTCGGCCTCCTCCTCCTCCTCCTCCTCGGCCTCCTCCTCCTCCTCGGCCTCCTCCCCCTCCTCGGCCTCCTCCTCCTCCTCCTCCTCCTCAGCCTCCTCCTCCTCCTCCTCCTCGGCCTCCTCCTCCTCGGCCCTCCTCCTCCTCCTCCTCCTCCTCCTCCTCCTCCTCCTCCTCCTCCTCCTCCTCCTCCTCCTCCTCCTCCTCCTCCTCCTCCTCATCTTCCTCCTCTTCCTCCTCCTCCTCCTCCTCCTCCTCCTCCTCCTCCTCCTCCTCCTCCTCCTCCTCCTCCTCCGACCCCCCCCTCCGACCTCTCCCCCCTCTCCCACGCCGAGATCCCATGGTCCGCGGACTTCCTCCTCCTTGTCCTCCTCGTCCTCCTCGTCGTCGTCCTCCTCCTCCCGTGCCCTCTTCCCCTTCCCCTTCCCCTTACCCTGCCCCTTCTCATTCCCCTTCCCCTTCCCTTCCCCTTCCCCTTCCCCTTCCCTTCCCTTTCCCTTTCCCCGAGCCCTTTGCCTTCTTCGAACACTTCACGGTGGAGGTCTTCCCTTTCCTCGTCTTCCTCTCGCTGATGCTCCCAAAGGACTCCCAATCAATAGTGCACTCAACCGCTCCCTCCACCCCCTCCTCCTCCGCCTCCACCTCCTCCCCCTCCCCCTCTTCCTCTTGGGAGGTGGGTGGAGCGGGGCCAGAGCTCCCTTCTCCAAGCACGCTAGCGCCTAGGTTTTGGTACAGGCGGTCCCGAGCCGCAACCTTCCTATCGAAAGCCTTCCTCGAGCGCTGGCTGATCACCACCACCGTGACTAGGCATGAGCAACCGAGTTGAGTTTCTGACTCGACTCGTCAACTTGGCTCGCCTTTTGGCGAGTCGAGTTTTTTTTTGTGCTCTTCCGACTCATCCCGAGTCGAGTCGAGTTGAGTCGGTCAAGTCACGAGTCAAAGCTCGAACGGCTTGTCCAACATTTTCGGCCGAGTCACGGCCGTGACGTCAATCAAGGTGGGAGGCGTTCATCCGGTTGGGATCTTGACGTCGCACCCGTGCGAATGCGACCACGCTCGCTCCACCTCGGATATGGTCGTGGGTTGGGAGAGCACCTTCACCGCGATCTCCTGCAACGCCCTCACCTCCTCTCCAAAGGTGGTCAACCATTCCGCCTCCGAGAGCCGCCCACTCTCCTCAAGGTGAGTGGTGGCCCACCGTGCTTCCAAACTGCCCAACGTCCCCTCCTCGCTATGGGAGTGTGCGAGTTGGGTCTGGAGGAGTGTGCGGTGCTGAATGGTCGCCTGCCACGCCTACGTCACCCTTTTCACCCCCTTACCAATCTCCAAGTCGGTCCTCACTTCCTTGGCAAAACGGTTATGGGGGTTGAGTAGCCAACCCACAGTATGGAGCGGGTTGTGGAGTTGGCCGTCCCAACGTGCTGCTATGATCCTTTGCACCTTGGTCAAGAATGATGCCTTGTTCGTGGCCAAGAGGAGCCATGTTCTCTTGATGAAGAATGTGGCTGAAAACAAATTCAGAGAACAACGGTTTGATGCGGGTTAGTAAGGGCCGGAAAGGTAGGGTCTGCGAATTGCCATCGACCGTACAAATAAGGTACGCAACGGAATATGGGCGGAGGGGGGATGGGCAAGTATTTGCGGCCTCCGCGACCTTGTTGGTCTTCATTGTCACATCGAGCATCAACCCATAGATGCGCCCCATGAGGTGAGAACGGGTGTCCACCGCCCGAAGCACCTCATAAATCGGCATCAACAACTTTTGCACCGCCTCCACCGAGCTTTAAAAAGCCTCGTCTAGGAGAAGGCTTTGAATCCGCTTCCCCTTCTTCGTTTTCGCTGCAGGCACCCGTGCACTCCTTGCTAATCACCATGCTCTTCAACTGCTTTTTACCTCCAAGAAACGGCCCACCGTAAGGACTTGTGTGCCAAATTGAGTAGCCTCGGGACGGACTAGTTCCAACTCACTAAAGACCTCTCGAAAGAGGGTCACGGCGGTGGCGCTAGCCCACGAGCATGGCTACTTGGTGCGCTTGCCACAGGACCTTCTGCACCACGCCTATCATCCCAAGGTCACTGAGCATCCAGTCTAGGCAATGCGCCGCACAATTGGTGAAGAATACCATGGGGAATCCTTCACCAAGGTCAGCCGCCACCCTCTTGTTGTTGCTCGCGTTGTCCACCACGACTTGGACAACGCGAGTATGTCCTACCTTGCAAATCGCACCCTTGCGAAGTCGGATTTGCACTTCGCGATATTCTTGAATTTCGACGCAGGGGTGCCGTAAAGGTGCTCTTGGATGCGTGTCGCACTACCCGAAATGTTCAAACTGCAGTGCAAGCATTCCGACCGTATGACCTTACCATCGTCATCACAAGTATGCTTCACATGCGCCCACAAAGGGGATGGTGCGCGGGGCATGGCGATAAGGCGCCTACGCCTCGCGAAGCTGTTGTGCGCTAGATCGCGCCTGAAATACGCGCTGGAATCGGCGTGAAGTAGTTCAGCCACGCTGGGTGGGCGGAGTTTTGCTACTAATTCTATAATGCTAGACTAATGAATGCTCTCTGTTGCTGCTCTGTAATTTGTATCTCTAGCGCGTAAGGTTTAGTTGGGTTAGGGTTGCAAGAGCGGGTTGGGAGGGGTGAAATTGCGATTTCGAAATGCGACTCGGTTGCGTGAGTCGCACAATTCGCGACAGCCCGCTATTGGGCGCGATCGAAATCGCCAGCCCCTTGCGAAACCGATTTTGGTTTCGCAACAGGTCTGGCGAGAATTCCAAAATGCGCTCCTCGGGACACGCGAAATTTCGCGCTTCGGGAATGTGTTGACCGAACATTCAGGGACGGTTGGGTGTATACCCAGCCGTTCGAATTCGGTGTCAAATTCGAGTTGGTGCAGTACACCCACGATTTTAAAACTTCGACCGTATAAAACAACCATTTTTTTCAACCAAAGAAAAGCTAACTTTCAGAACCGTTTTAAACCGTTTAATACAGCCGAAAAATACGGGACCGTAACAAACGGTCTAAAAAAGAAAAAAAAAAAACACACCGTTTTTTTTTACCTTGCTGTCGGGTCAAGCCCCAGCTGCTGCTGACTGCGGGGGATCACTCCCTGCAAACCCATTTCAACCTTGTCAACGAGTTGGTATTGTTTTTTACAATTCCCCTCTGTGCCTCTCTGTGCTTCTCCCCTGCTTCTCTGTGCCTCTCCGTGCTCCCGTCTTGCAGCTAACCAATCTCAGATCAGCTCTCGCCATTGCAACCATACTCAACCGAACGCTGGTTAGTCTGCCCCCTCTGCCTCTTAGCCTCTAGTCTGGCTGTTTTAACAGGCATCTAAAAAGTAGATGCCTCATTTGTCGGCCCTGTTGTCGACCCTGTGGAGGATGAAGTGAGCTTTTCATCCCAGCAACGCCTTTGCCTTGCTGGAGGTTACTTCAGGGGCGCCTTACAAAATAGCTGCCTCATTTCTCCCCCCTGGACCACCGGGTCGAGCATTGGAGTGGAGGTGCAGTGAGTGAGCCTTCCCATCCCAGCAACGTGTTTGCCCTTCTGGAGGTGAAGAGGGTTCAGCCGCTTCCTTTCTGTTCCAACACCGCCTTTAAATATCGGCCTGCCTCTCCCCGCAGGTACTACCCACCACATGGGTGTGCTTTCACCGAATCTAGTTGACCACATGGTGGTGCAGCGAACCTTGCTGTCCCCGCAACCGCTTTCCTTTGCCCTGCTGCAGATACAGCCGAGTCATCTGCTCCCTTCCTCTCCCCACAAATCCTTCGCCCTGCCTTTCTTCTCAGGTGCTCCCAGCCACATGGGTCCGGTTTGACCGACTCTGTTTCCCACACCTAGGGATTGTAGAAGGCACTGACACACCACAGCCGTTCCTGTCGCCCCTGGCGAGCCAAGTCGAGCCAGGCTCGGCATGCTGCCCATGTCTAACTTGAATTGACTGGAAGATGGGGCCTGATGTCAACCCCGAGATCAAGGATAAAGCGTCTTGGGCGTTCGATGGCAGTCTGAAGCTGGGGATACTGCCTGTCTCGTTTATGCCTGAGCAACGGCACGGCCGGCTCGGCCCGGCCCGGTTTTGGGTCGGCTCGGTTAGAAACCGAGCCGGGCCAGGCCGGCCTGTCCCGGGCCGGATTCCCAGATTTGTCGGCCCGGCCCGGGTTTCTAGACCTGGGCTGACCTGGCCCGGTGGCCGGACTGGTCCGGCCCGGTCTAAAATCGGGCCAAAACCGGGCCAGCCGGCCCGGGACTCCTTTTTTACTGTTTCGGGTGGGGTATTGATGGGGGGATGTCGTGCTTTGCTCTGCCAGATTTCCTAGGTGGTTGTCGCCCCTTGTAACGTGTCTCATGGTCCCCTAAATGCGCAGGATAAGCAGCTATGCATGGGAGGTGGCACACAAGGCCATGAACCATTGGTTTTTTAGGCCGTTGGCTAGGGCAGGCCCTCATGCTATCGAAAATCCAGAATCAGGCAGTCATGTATGCACGTTACCAAGCCTAATAAATAAAGTACCAAAGAGGACCCATGGCACATTGCCGGGTCCTTGGAATGACGTGATAATGTCCAATCCAATCCAACCTGCACCACCAACCCCAATCCCACTCAAAGTCCCTCATCATCCCCCTCAAGGGACACTCCTCTAGTTGCCTTAGATTCTTTCGCCCCTGCCCAGCCCCCGCCTTGCCCCCTCCCTTTCCTGCAGCAGCGCCGAGGGCGTGCCTACACCGCCCTCCATTGCCTCGTCGAGAGGGGTGTCCCTCGCTGCCCACCACGCGCGATCCTCCCCCCCCCCCCCCCCCCCCCCCCCCACGACCTTCACCGTACCCTGCGCCGCCCGTTCCACGCGGCCGACCGGCGGAGGTGTGTGCCCTTCCCCATTGCCAGCCCCCCCCCTGTGCGATGCCCTCCCTGCCCTAGCGTCTTTGCCCTACCCACCACCTCCGGGCCTCCTGTCATTCCCTTCTCCCCGCCTACGCTGTTTTGGCAGGCCGTCGCTGGACTCCTCGGACAACTCCTCCCCACTGATGCGGTACTCTTCGTCATCATCCCCCGCCTGCCCAGAAACCTCGCGCTCTCCCATCTCCTCCTCCCCCCCCCTCCTCAGCCGTTCCCCGGTGGATGTGTGAGCCCATCGGGCAGCATCACCTGCTGGAGGGCCCCTCGAAACCCATAACTACTAACCCCACCAGCGCTCGCCCCCGCGATCGTGCTCTGACGCGACGTTCCACCAAAATCGCCCATTGCCTCGATTCGAGCACCACCAACTTCGCCTCACGCCTAGTGACGCACGGAACCTTCAGCTATTCAGAGTGGCAGGCCAAATCGCAGGCCAACCATGCTACTACAAATTGTAAATCGAAATAAATGTAATGTCAAAGGTAGGTTGAGATCGTTTGACGAGTAACGTTGGTAGTTTACGAACAAGTCACTGTGGAGAAATGCGATTCGTAACTTGAGTAACGCGCCAAAGGAGTCTCATGAAAACGGATCTGTGGCGCTCGGCGATTTTCAGAGGGGGTACGTTTTCTAGGGTAGAGAGAACAGCGCACTACTTTTCCTAGCCAGAAATCGTCGCGCAAGAGAAATGCATCCGTAGATCTACCCTAAATTATGGGTAGCAGTTGTCTCTGGACTAAAACGATGGTGGCTGCCACGGATCCTAGGGTTAGGAGCCCCTAGATGCCTACGTAGTTGGTTGCGACTCTTGTCTGCTGTGAAAATGAGTCGTGATGGTAAAAAAATCGACTTCATTGTCGAATCTTTGACCCCGCGGATGACCGAGCCGCGCAGGCCAGGCTACGGCCCGCACTTCAGGCCAGGCCAGCCCGGCCCGACTTCGGGAACGCGGCCCGACGACGGGCCTGTCCGGACCGGTCCGGCCCGTTCAGCTCGTCGGACCGGTCCGGACCGGCCCGGCCCAGCGGGCCAAACCCGGACCGGCCCGCTCCGCTCGGGCCGGTACCCTTCAAAGTATTGGCCCGGTCCGGGAAAATTCTGGACCGGTCCGGACCGGCCCGGTCCGTCCTGGCCTTTTGCTCATGCCTAGTCTCGTTGTTCTGCTCGGGCCACACCTACTTTGTCCAGGTGAGGCCTGCAGTTGACTTGTGTTGACTGGGCGTGACCTCAGTTGACTGTGAAGCTGGGGCCGGTGTGAACCCCGAGGGGAACGATAACCGGTTCTGGGCGTTCGGTGGGAGTCTGAAGCGTGGGATATTGCATGTGGCACTGTTTTTCTCGGGCCACACTTACTTTGTGCTGGTGAGGCTGCATTTGACTGTGGTTGACTGAGGTTGACTTGAGTTGACTGCACCTTACAATCCTGAACGTCTACAGCCCTCTGCCCTCCCTTCTCCTCCTGTCTCTACCTGCTTTGCTCCCCTCCCTACAAGCACCTGTACAGGCAGGTAGCCCTAGATACATCTGCCATGCACGCCACGTTTCAGTTTGCTGAATGGTCGGCAAGAGGCACCCGCCCACTCTTCCTACCCCCCGTCTCTCTTCCTCTCCACCTCCCGCCTTCTTGTCCCCTCCCCACCAGCACCTGTATCGCACGGTAAGGCCTGGACTGAAGCCCCATGCCATGCCATGCACGCCATATGTCTCTCGCCCGCCCAACCCCCACCCCGTTGTATTTTGAGTCAACTCAAAATACAACTGGACAAGCTGACACACGGTTTATTCTCCGGCCGACGTGCATTGATTGCATGGAAGCTGCCAAAGAAGATCAAGGATTTTATAGTCTCAGCAAGGAAATGCTAGTTTAGTGTTTCAAATTTGTTACACTTATCTAGTTTTTTGCTAGGCTACAGTGACCCCTTCTCGGGGATGGTGTGGACCCTCGAGTTTTTCTCGGGTCGCACTCTCACTATTTAGACAGCTCGAATGCTCCGATGTTCAGTAGATGCTGATGAAGGCTTGTATAAGCCAAAACTAGTTCATCACTGGTTTTCCATCAAAACTTCCTGAACATCCCTTCAGCTCGAGCTTTTTCAGAACCGCTGCCTCGCAAGGCTTTTTCCACCATGGTTAGCCCTGAAAAATATGTGTCCATTGGTCTGCACGCCATATGTCTCTCGCCCGCCCAACCCCCACCCCCTTCCTCCCCAAGCAGCACCTGTACCGCAAGATAGGTCTGGAGCCATACGCCATGCACGCCACCTTCCAGTTTACCGGCACGGGCGGCAAGAGGCATCGCTTCAGAGAGGCCATGGCGTTCATTGACCCGCCTGAGTACTACGACCCTCCAGGTGAGGCTCGACCCCCCAGTGGGGGGGGCTGGTATCATAGGCATAGATGGGATTACTGGGACACACAGACAACATGAAGCACCGCTTCCAGCTGTGGCGTTCGATAACCCCCCCAGCATCACAACGTGCCAAGTGGGGATTGTGCAGGTGGTTGTGGATAGTACTCCCAAGCTACAGCCGCCCGAGTACTGCAACCCTCCCCATGCGGATTCTGAGGCTGGTAGAACCTTCTTGGTAACTTGATTGCTGGCCTTTCTTCTCCTGTCTCACCTGCCTTCGCTTTGTACGTACTATGAGGCACTCAAGGTACATAGTAGGTGCAACCACCTTTGTCAAAATCACCTAGTGGTTGCTTGTCATCCCACGTACCATGATGCACGTCCCATATGATATTGTGATGTGGCGGCGTGCCAGGTGGCGTGTTGTCATTCGTGAACAACATCCCGGAGGAGCTCCTGACTGGGGGGGATCACTCCCTGCAAACCCACTTCAACCCTCGCCAACTACCAGGTGAGTCAGTTACCAGGTGTGCGGACAAGATGTGTGGTGTGGAAACCACTCAAGTGGTACTACCCCTCCTCCTACCCCTCCTCCTCCTCCCCCTCATCGTCGTCGTCGTCGTCCTCCTCCTCCTCTTCCTCCTCCTCCTCCTCGTCCTCCTCGTCGTCGTCGTCGTCGTCGTCCTCCTCCTCCTCCTCCTCCTCCTCCTCCTCCTCCTCCTCCTCCTCCTCCTCCTCCTCCTCCTCCTCCCCCTCCTCCTCCTCCTCCTCCTCCTCCTCCTCCTCCTCCTCCTCCTCCTCCTCCTCCTCCTCCTCGGCCTCGGCCTCCTCCTCCTCCTCGGCCTCCTCCTCCTCCTCGGCCTCCTCCTCCTCCTCGGCCTCCTCCTCCTCCTCCTCCTCGGCCTCCTCCTCCTCCTCGCCTCCTCCCCCTCCTCGGCCTCCTCCTCCTCCTCCTCCTCCTCAGCTCCTCCTCCTCCTCCTCCTCGGCCTCCTCCTCCTCGGCCTCCTCCTCCTCCTCCTCCTCCTCCTCCCTCCTCCTCCTCCTCCTCCTCCTCCTCCTCCTCCTCCTCCTCCTCCTCCTCCTCCTCCTCATCTTCCTCCTCTTCCTCCTCCTCCTCCTCCTCCTCCTCCTCCTCCTCCTCCTCCTCCTCCTCCTCCTCCTCCTCCGACCCCCCCCTCCGACCTCTCCCCCCTCTCCACGCCGAGATCCCATGGTCCGCGGACTTCCTCCTCCTTGTCCTCCTCGTCCTCCTCGTCGTCGTCCTCCTCCTCCCGTGCCCTCTTCCCCTTCCCCTTCCCCTTACCCTGCCCCTTCTCATTCCCCTTCCCCTTCCCTTCCCCTTCCCCTTCCCCTTCCCTTCCCTTTCCCTTTCCCCGAGCCCTTTGCCTTCTTCGAACACTTCACGGTGGAGGTCTTCCCTTTCCTCGTCTTCCTCTCGCTGATGCTCCCAAAGGACTCCCAATCAATAGTGCACTCAACCGCTCCCTCCACCCCCTCCTCCTCCGCCTCCACCTCCTCCCCCTCCCCCTCTTCCTCTTGGGAGGTGGGTGGAGCGGGGCCAGAGCTCCCTTCTCCAAGCACGCTAGCGCCTAGGTTTTGGTACAGGCGGTCCCGAGCCGCAACCTTCCTATCGAAAGCCTTCCTCGAGCGCTGGCTGATCACCACCACCGTGACTAGCATGAGCAACCGAGTTGAGTTTCTGACTCGACTCGTCAACTTGGCTCGCCTTTTGGCGAGTCGAGTTTTTTTTTGTGCTCTTCCGACTCATCCCGAGTCGAGTCGAGTTGAGTCGGTCAAGTCACGAGTCAAAGCTCGAACGGCTTGTCCAACATTTTCGGCCGAGTCACGGCCGTGACGTCAATCAAGGTGGGAGGCGTTCATCCGGTTGGGATCTTGACGTCGCACCCGTGCGAATGCGACCACGCTCGCTCCACCTCGGATATGGTCGTGGGTTGGGAGAGCACCTTCACCGCGATCTCCTGCAACGCCCTCACCTCCTCTCCAAAGGTGGTCAAACCATTCCGCCTCCGAGAGCCGCCCACTCTCCTCAAGGTGAGTGGTGGCCCACCGTGCTTCCAAACTGCCCCAACGTCCCCTCCTCGCTATGGGAGTGTGCGAGTTGGGTCTGGAGGAGTGTGCGGTGCTGAATGGTCGCCTGCCACGCCTACGTCACCCTTTTCACCCCCTTACCAATCTCCAAGTCGGTCCTCACTTCCTTGGCAAAACGGTTATGGGGGTTGAGTAGCCAACCCACAGTATGGAGCGGGTTGTGGAGTTGGCCGTCCCAACGTGCTGCTATGATCCTTTGCACCTTGGTCAAGAATGAATGCCTTGTTCGTGGCCAAGAGGAGCCATGTTCTCTTGATGAAGAATGTGGCTGAAAACAAATTCAGAGAACAACGGTTTGATGCGGGTTAGTAAGGGCCGGAAAGGTAGGGTCTGCGAATTGCCATCGACCGTACAAATAAGGTACGCAACGGAATATGGGCGGAGGGGGGATGGGCAAGTATTTGCGGCCTCCGCGACCTTGTTGGTCTTCATTGTCACATCGAGCATCAACCCATAGATGCGCCCCATGAGGTGAGAACGGGTGTCCACCGCCCGAAGCACCTCATAAATCGGCATCAACAACTTTGCACCGCCTCCACCGAGCTTTAAAAAGCCTCGTCTAGGAGAAGGCTTTGAATCCGCTTCCCCTTCTTCGTTTTCGCTGCAGGCACCCGTGCACTCCTTGCTAATCACCATGCTCTTCAACTGCTTTTTACCTCCAAGAAACGGCCCACCGTAAGGACTTGTGTGCCAAATTGAGTAGCCTCGGGACGGACTAGTTCCAACTCACTAAAGACCTCTCGAAAGAGGGTCACGGCGGTGGCGCTAGCCCACGAGCATGGCTACTTGGTGCGCTTGCCACAGGACCTTCTGCACCACGCCTATCATCCCAAGGTCACTGAGCATCCAGTCTAGGCAATGCGCCGCACAATTGGTGAAGAATACCATGGGGAATCCTTCACCAAGGTCAGCCGCCACCCTCTTGTTGTTGCTCGCGTTGTCCACCACGACTTGGACAACGCGAGTATGTCCTACCTTGCAAATCGCACCCTTGCGAAGTCGGATTTGCACTTCGCGATATTCTTGAATTTCGACGCAGGGGTGCCGTAAAGGTGCTCTTGGATGCGTGTCGCACTACCCGAAATGTTCAAACTGCAAGTGCAAGCATTCCGACCGTATGACCTTACCATCGTCATCACAAGTATGCTTCACATGCGCCCACAAAGGGGATGGTGCGCGGGGCATGGCGATAAGGCGCCTACGCCTCGCGAAGCTGTTGTGCGCTAGATCGCGCCTGAAATACGCGCTGGAATCGGCGTGAAGTAGTTCAGCCACGCTGGGTGGGCGGAGTTTTGCTACTAATTCTATAATGCTAGACTAATGAATGCTCTCTGTTGCTGCTCTGTAATTTGTATCTCTAGCGCGTAAGGTTTAGTTGGGTTAGGGTTGCAAGAGCGGGTTGGGAGGGGTGAAATTGCGATTTCGAAATGCGACTCGGTTGCGTGAGTCGCACAATTCGCGACAGCCCGCTATTGGGCGCGATCGAAATCGCCAGCCCCTTGCGAAACCGATTTTGGTTTCGCAACAGGTCTGGCGAGAATTCCAAAATGCGCTCCTCGGGACACGCGAAATTTCGCGCTTCGGGAATGTGTTGACCGAACATTCAGGGACGGTTGGGTGTATACCCAGCCGTTCGAATTCGGTGTCAAATTCGAGTTGGTGCAGTACACCCACGATTTTAAAACTTCGACCGATAAAACAACCATTTTTTTCAACCAAAGAAAAGCTAACTTTCAGAACCGTTTTAAACCGTTTAATACAGCCGAAAAATACGGGACCGTAACAAACGGTCTAAAAAAGAAAAAAAAAAAAACACACCGTTTTTTTTACCTTGCTGTCGGGTCAAGCCCCAGCTGCTGCTGACTGCGGGGGATCACTCCCTGCAAACCCATTTCAACCTTGTCAACGAGTTGGTATTGTTTTTTACAATTCCCCTCTGTGCCTCTCTGTGCTTCTCCCCTGCTTCTCTGTGCCTCTCCGTGCTCCCGTCTTGCAGCTAACCAATCTCAGATCAGCTCTCGCCATTGCAACCATACTCAACCGAACGCTGGTTAGTCTGCCCCCTCTGCCTCTTAGCCTCTAGTCTGGCTGTTTTAACAGGCATCTAAAAAGTAGATGCCTCATTTGTCGGCCTGTTGTCGACCCTGTGGAGGATGAAGTGAGCTTTTCATCCCAGCAACGCCTTTGCCTTGCTGGAGGTTACTTCAGGGGCGCCTTACAAAATAGCTGCCTCATTTCTCCCCCCTGGACCACCGGGTCGAGCATTGGAGTGGAGGTGCAGTGAGTGAGCCTTCCCATCCCAGCAACGTGTTTGCCCTTCTGGAGGTGAAGAGGGTTCAGCCGCTTCCTTTCTGTTCCAACACCGCCTTTAAATATCGGCCTGCCTCTCCCCGCAGGTACTACCCACCACATGGGTGTGCTTTCACCGAATCTAGTTGACCACATGGTGGTGCAGCGAACCTTGCTGTCCCCGCAACCGCTTTCCTTTGCCCTGCTGCAGATACAGCCGAGTCATCTGCTCCCTTCCTCTCCCCACAAATCCTTCGCCCTGCCTTTCTTCTCAGGTGCTCCCAGCCACATGGGTCCGGTTTGACCGACTCTGTTTCCCACACCTAGGGATTGTAGAAGGCACTGACACACCACAGCCGTTCCTGTCGCCCCTGGCGAGCCAAGTCGAGCCAGGCTCGGCATGCTGCCCATGTCTAACTTGAATTGACTGGAAGATGGGGCCTGATGTCAACCCCGAGATCAAGGATAAAGCGTCTTGGGCGTTCGATGGCAGTCTGAAGCTGGGGATACTGCCTGTCTCGTTTATGCCTGAGCAACGGCACGGCCGGCTCGGCCCGGCCCGGTTTTGGGTCGGCTCGGTTAGAAAACCGAGCCGGGCCAGGCCGGCCTGTCCCGGGCCGGATTCCCAGATTTGTCGGCCCGGCCCGGGTTTCTAGACCTGGCTGACCTTGGCCCGGTGGCCGGACTGGTCCGGCCCGGTCTAAAATCGGGCCAAAACCGGGCCAGCCGGCCCGGGACTCCTTTTTTACTGTTTCGGGGTGGGTATTGATGGGGGATGTCGTGCTTTGCTCTGCCAGATTTCCTAGGTGGTTGTCGCCCCTTGTAACGTGTCTCATGGTCCCCTAAATGCGCAGGATAAGCAGCTATGCATGGGAGGTGGCACACAAGGCCATGAACCATTGGTTTTTAGGCCGTTGGCTAGGGCAGGCCCTCATGCTATCGAAAATCCAGAATCAGGCAGTCATGTATGCACGTTACCAAGCCTAATAAATAAAGTACCAAAGAGGACCCATGGCACATTGCCGGGTCCTTGGAATGACGTGATAATGTCCAATCCAATCCCAACCTGCACCACCAACCCCAATCCCACTCAAAGTCCCTCATCATCCCCCTCAAGGGACACTCCTCTAGTTGCCTTAGATTCTTTCGCCCCTGCCCAGCCCCCGCCTTGCCCCCTCCCTTTCCTGCAGCAGCGCCGAGGGCGTGCCTACACCGCCTCCATTGCCTCGTCGAGAGGGGTGTCCCCTCGCTGCCCACACGCGGCGATCCTCCCCCCCCCCCCCCCCCCCCCCCCCCCACGCCTTCACCGTACCCTGCGCCGCCCGTTCCACGCGGCCGACCGCGCGGAGGTGTGTGCCCTTCCCCATTGCCAGCCCCCCCCCTGTGCGATGCCCTCCCTGCCCTAGCGTCTTTGCCTACCCACCACCTCCGGGCCTCCTGTCATTCCCTTCTCCCCGCCTACGCTGTTTGGCAGGCCGTCGCTGGACTCCTCGGACAACTCCTCCCCACTGATGCGGTACTCTTCGTCATCATCCCCCGCCTGCCCAGAAACCTCGCGCTCTCCCATCTCCTCCTCCCCCCCCCCTCCTCAGCCGTTCCCCGGTGGATGTGTGAGCCCATCGGGCAGCATCACCTGCTGGAGGGCCCCTCGAAACCCATAACTACTAACCCACCAGCGCTCGCCCCGCGATCGTGCTCTGACGCGACGTTCCACCAAAATCGCCCATTGCCTCGATTCGAGCACCACCAACTTCGCCTCACGCCTAGTGACGCGCGGAACCTTCAGCTATTCAGAGTGGCAGGCCAAATCGCAGGCCAACCATGCTACTACAAATTGTAAATCGAAATAAATGTAATGTCAAAGGTAGGTTGAGATCGTTTGACGAGTAACGTTGGTAGTTTACGAACAAGTCACTGTGGAGAAATGCGATTCGTAACTTGAGTAACGCGCCAAAGGAGTCTCATGAAAACGGATCTGTGGCGCTCGGCGATTTTCAGAGGGGGTACGTTTTCTAGGGTAGAGAGAACAGCGCACTACTTTCCTAGCCAGAAATCGTCGCGCAAGAGAAATGCATCCGTAGATCTACCCTAAATTATGGGTAGCAGTTGTCTCTGGACTAAAACGATGGTGGCTGCCACGGATCCTAGGTTAGGAGCCCCTAGATGCCTACGTAGTTGGTTGCGACTCTTGTCTGCTGTGAAAATGAGTCGTGATGGTAAAAAATCGACTTCATTGTCGAATCTTTGACCCCGCGGATGACCGAGCCGCGCAGGCCAGGCTACGGCCCGCACTTCAGGCCAGGCCAGCCCGGCCCGACTTCGGGAACGCGGCCCGACGACGGGCCTGTCCGGACCGGTCCGGCCCGTTCAGCTCGTCGGACCGGTCCGGACCGGCCCGGCCCAGCGGGCCAAACCCGGACCGGCCCGCTCCGCTCGGGCCGGTACCCTTCAAAGTATTGGCCCGGTCCGGGAAAATTCTGGGACCGGTCCGGACCGGCCCGGTCCGTCCTGGCCTTTTGCTCATGCCTAGTCTCGTTGTTCTGCTCGGGCCACACCTACTTTGTCCAGGTGAGGCCTGCAGTTGACTTGTGTTGACTGGGCGTGACCTCAGTTGACTGTGAAGCTGGGGCCGGTGTGAACCCCGAGGGGAACGATAACCGGTTCTGGGCGTTCGGTGGGAGTCTGAAGCGTGGGATATTGCATGTGGCACTGTTTTTCTCGGGCCACACTTACTTTGTGCTGGTGAGGCTGCATTTGACTGTGGTTGACTGAGGTTGACTTGAGTTGACTGCACCTTACAATCCTGAACGTCTACAGCCCTCTGCCCTCCCTTCTCCTCCTGTCTCTACCTGCTTTGCTCCCCTCCCTACAAGCACCTGTACAGGCAGGTAGCCCTAGATACATCTGCCATGCACGCCACGTTTCAGTTTGCTGAATGGTCGGCAAGAGGCACCCGCCCACTCTTCCTACCCCCCGTCTCTCTTCCTCTCCACTCCCGCCTTCTTGTCCCCTCCCCACCAGCACCTGTATCGCACGGTAGGCCTGGACTGAAGCCCCATGCCATGCCATGCACGCCATAATGTCTCTCGCCCGCCCAACCCCCACCCCGTTGTATTTTGAGTCAACTCAAAATACAACTGGACAAGCTGACCACACGGTTTATTCTCCGGCCGACGTGCATTGATTGCATGGAAGCTGCCAAAGAAGATCAAGGATTTTATAGTCTCAGCAAGGAAATGCTAGTTTAGTGTTTCAAATTTGTTACACTTATCTAGTTTTTTGCTAGGCTACAGTGACCCCTTCTCGGGGATGGTGTGGACCCTCGAGTTTTTCTCGGGTCGCACTCTCACTATTTAGACAGCTCGAATGCTCCGATGTTCAGTAGATGCTGATGAAGGCTTGTATAAGCCAAAACTAGTTCATCACTGGTTTTCCATCAAAACTTCCTGAACATCCCTTCAGCTCGAGCTTTTTCAGAACCGCTGCCTCGCAAGGCTTTTTCCACCATGGTTAGCCCTGAAAAATATGTGTCCATTGGTCTGCACGCCATATGTCTCTCGCCCGCCCAACCCCCACCCCCTTCCTCCCCAAGCAGCACCTGTACCGCAAGATAGGTCTGGAGCCATACGCCATGCACGCCACCTTCCAGTTTACCGGCACGGGCGGCAAGAGGCATCGCTTCAGAGAGGCCATGGCGTTCATTGACCCCGCCTGAGTACTACGGACCCTCCAGGTGAGGGCTCGACCCCCCAGTGGGGGGGGCTGGTATCATAGGCATAGATGGGATTACTGGGACACACAGACAACATGAAGCACCGCTTCCAGCTGTGGCGTTCGATAACCCCCCGAGCATCACAAACGTGCCAAGTGGGGATTGTGCAGGTGGTTGTGGATAGTACTTCCCAAGCTACAGCCGCCCGAGTACTGCAACCCTCCCATGCGGATTCTGAGGCTGGTAGAACCTTCTTGTAACTTGATTGCTGGCCTTTCTTCTCCTGTCTCACCTGCCTTCGCTTTGTACGTACTATGAGGCACTCAAGGTACATAGTAGGTGCAACCACCTTTGTCAAAATCACCTAGTGGTTGCTTGTCATCCCACGTACCATGATGCACGTCCCATATGATATTGTGATGTGGCGGCGTGCCAGGTGGCGTGTTGTCATTCGTGAACAACATCCCGGAGGAGCTCCTGACTGGGGGGGATCACTCCCTGCAAACCCACTTCAACCTCGCCAACTACCAGGTGAGTCAGTTACCAGGTGTGCGGACAAGATGTGTGGTGTGGAAACCACTCAAGTGGTACTACCCCTCCTCCTACCCCTCCTCCTCCTCCCCCTCATCGTCGTCGTCGTCGTCCTCCTCCCCTCTTCCTCCTCCTCCTCCTCGTCCTCCTCGTCGTCGTCGTCGTCGTCGTCCTCCTCCTCCTCCTCCTCCTCCTCCTCCTCCTCCTCCTCCTCCTCCTCCTCCTCCTCCTCCTCCCCCTCTCCTCTCCTCCTCCTTCTCCTCCTCCTCCTCCTCCTCCTCCTCCTCCTCCTCCTCCTCGGCCTCGGCCTCCTCCTCCTCCTCGGCCTCCTCCTCCTCCTCGGCCTCCTCCTCCTCCTCGGCCTCCTCCTCCTCCTCCTCCTCGGCCTCCTCCTCCTCCTCGGCCTCCTCCCCCTCCGGCCTCCTCCTCCTCCTCCTCCTCCTCAGCCTCCTCCTCCTCCTCCTCCTCGGCCTCCTCCTCCTCGGCCTCTCCTCCTCCTCCTCCTCCTCCTCCTCCTCCTCCTCCTCCTCCTCCTCCTCCTCCTCCTCCTCCTCCTCCTCCTCTCCTCCTCCTCATCTTCCTCCTCTTCCTCCTCCTCCTCCTCCTCCTCCTCCTCCTCCTCCTCCTCCTCCTCCTCCTCCTCTCCTCCGACCCCCCCTCCGACCTCTCCCCCCTCTCCCACGCCGAGATCCCATGGTCCGCGGACTTCCTCCTCCTTGTCCTCCTCGTCCTCCTCGTCGTCGTCCTCCTCCTCCCGTGCCCTCTTCCCCTTCCCCTTCCCCTTACCCTGCCCCTTCTCATTCCCCTTCCCCTTCCCTTCCCCTTCCCCTTCCCCTTCCCCTTCCCTTTCCCTTTCCCCGAGCCCTTTGCCTTCTTCGAACACTTCACGGTGGAGGTCTTCCCTTTCCTCGTCTTCCTCTCGCTGATGCTCCCAAAGGACTCCCAATCAATAGTGCACTCAACCGCTCCCTCCACCCCCTCCTCCTCCGCCTCCACCTCCTCCCCCTCCCCCTCTTCCTCTTGGGAGGTGGGTGGAGCGGGGCCAGAGCTCCCTTCTCCAAGCACGCTAGCGCCTAGGTTTTGGTACAGGCGGTCCCGAGCCGCAACCTTCCTATCGAAAGCCTTCCTCGAGCGCTGGCTGATCACCACCACCGTGACTAGGCATGAGCAACCGAGTTGAGTTTCTGACTCGACTCGTCAACTTGGCTCGCCTTTTGGCGAGTCGAGTTTTTTTTTGTGCTCTTCCGACTCATCCCGAGTCGAGTCGAGTTGAGTCGGTCAAGTCACGAGTCAAAGCTCGAACGGCTTGTCCAACATTTTCGGCCGAGTCACGGCCGTGACGTCAATCAAGGTGGGAGGCGTTCATCCGGTTGGGATCTTGACGTCGCACCCGTGCGAATGCGACCACGCTCGCTCCACCTCGGATATGGTCGTGGGTTGGGAGAGCACCTTCACCGCGATCTCCTGCAACGCCCTCACCTCCTCTCCAAAGGTGGTCAACCATTCCGCCTCCGAGAGCCGCCCACTCTCCTCAAGGTGAGTGGTGGCCCACCGTGCTTCCAAACTGCCCAACGTCCCCTCCTCGCTATGGGAGTGTGCGAGTTGGGTCTGGAGGAGTGTGCGGTGCTGAATGGTCGCCTGCCACGCCTACGTCACCCTTTTCACCCCCTTACCAATCTCCAAGTCGGTCCTCACTTCCTTGGCAAAACGGTTATGGGGGTTGAGTAGCCAACCCACAGTATGGAGCGGGTTGTGGAGTTGGCCGTCCCAACGTGCTGCTATGATCCTTTGCACCTTGGTCAAGAATGATGCCTTGTTCGTGGCCAAGAGGAGCCATGTTCTCTTGATGAAGAATGTGGCTGAAAACAAATTCAGAGAACAACGGTTTGATGCGGGTTAGTAAGGGCCGGAAAGGTAGGGTCTGCGAATTGCCATCGACCGTACAAATAAGGTACGCAACGGAATATGGGCGGAGGGGGGATGGGCAAGTATTTGCGGCCTCCGCGACCTTGTTGGTCTTCATTGTCACATCGAGCATCAACCCATAGATGCGCCCCATGAGGTGAGAACGGGTGTCCACCGCCCGAAGCACCTCATAAATCGGCATCAACAACTTTTGCACCGCCTCCACCGAGCTTTAAAAAGCCTCGTCTAGGAGAAGGCTTTGAATCCGCTTCCCCTTCTTCGTTTTCGCTGCAGGCACCCGTGCACTCCTTGCTAATCACCATGCTCTTCAACTGCTTTTTACCTCCAAGAAACGGCCCACCGTAAGGACTTGTGTGCCAAATTGAGTAGCCTCGGGACGGACTAGTTCCAACTCACTAAAGACCTCTCGAAAGAGGGTCACGGCGGTGGCGCTAGCCCACGAGCATGGCTACTTGGTGCGCTTGCCACAGGACCTTCTGCACCACGCCTATCATCCCAAGGTCACTGAGCATCCAGTCTAGGCAATGCGCCGCACAATTGGTGAAGAATACCATGGGGAATCCTTCACCAAGGTCAGCCGCCACCCTCTTGTTGTTGCTCGCGTTGTCCACCACGACTTGGACAACGCGAGTATGTCCTACCTTGCAAATCGCACCCTTGCGAAGTCGGATTTGCACTTCGCGATATTCTTGAATTTCGACGCAGGGGTGCCGTAAAGGTGCTCTTGGATGCGTGTCGCACTACCCGAAATGTTCAAACTGCAGTGCAAGCATTCCGACCGTATGACCTTACCATCGTCATCACAAGTATGCTTCACATGCGCCCACAAAGGGGATTGGTGCGCGGGGCATGGCGATAAGGCGCCTACGCCTCGCGAAGCTGTTGTGCGCTAGATCGCGCCTGAAATACGCGCTGGAATCGGCGTGAAGTAGTTCAGCCACGCTGGGTTGGGCGGAGTTTTGCTACTAATTCTATAATGCTAGACTAATGAATGCTCTCTGTTGCTGCTCTGTAATTTGTATCTCTAGCGCGTAAGGTTTAGTTGGGTTTAGGGTGCAAGAGCGGGTTGGGAGGGGTGAAATTGCGATTTCGAAATGCGACTCGGTTGCGTGAGTCGCACAATTCGCGGACACGCCGCTATTGGGCGCGATCGAAATCGCCAGCCCCTTGCGAAACCGATTTTGGTTTCGCAACAGGTCTGGCGAGAATTCCAAAATGCGCTCCCTCGGGACCGGCGAAATTTCGCGCTTCGGGAATGTGTTGACCGAACATTCAGGGACGGTTGGGTGTATACCCAGCCGTTCGAATTCGGTGTCAAATTCGAGTTGGTGCAGTACACCCACGATTTTAAAACTTCGACCGTATAAAACAACCATTTTTTTCAACCAAAGAAAAGCTAACTTTCAGAACCGTTTTAAACCGTTTAATACAGCCGAAAAATACGGGACCGTAACAAACGGTCTAAAAAAGAAAAAAAAAAAACACACCGTTTTTTTTACCTTGCTGTCGGGTCAAGCCCCAGCTGCTGCTGACTGCGGGGGATCACTCCCTGCAAACCCATTTCAACCTTGTCAACGAGTTGGTATTGTTTTTTACAATTCCCCTCTGTGCCTCTCTGTGCTTCTCCCCTGCTTCTCTGTGCCTCTCCGTGCTCCCGTCTTGCAGCTAACCAATCTCAGATCAGCTCTCGCCATTGCAACCATACTCAACCGAACGCTGGTTAGTCTGCCCCCTCTGCCTCTTAGCCTCTAGTCTGGCTGTTTTAACAGGCATCTAAAAAGTAGATGCCTCATTTGTCGGCCCTGTTGTCGACCCTGTGGAGGATGAAGTGAGCTTTTCATCCCAGCAACGCCTTTGCCTGCTGGAGGTTACTTCAGGGGCGCCTTACAAAATAGCTGCCTCATTTCTCCCCCCTGGACCACCGGGTCGAGCATTGGAGTGGAGGTGCAGTGAGTGAGCCTTCCCATCCCAGCAACGTGTTTGCCCTTCTGGAGGTGAAGAGGGTTCAGCCGCTTCCTTTCTGTTCCAACACCGCCTTTAAATATCGGCCTGCCTCTCCCCGCAGGTACTACCCACCACATGGGTGTGCTTTCACCGAATCTAGTTGACCACATGGTGGTGCAGCGAACCTTGCTGTCCCCGCAACCGCTTTCCTTTGCCCTGCTGCAGATACAGCCGAGTCATCTGCTCCCTTCCTCTCCCCACAAATCCTTCGCCCTGCCTTTCTTCTCAGGTGCTCCCAGCCACATGGGTCCGGTTTGACCGACTCTGTTTCCCACACCTAGGGATTGTAGAAGGCACTGACACACCACAGCCGTTCCTGTCGCCCCTGGCGAGCCAAGTCGAGCCAGGCTCGGCATGCTGCCCATGTCTAACTTGAATTGACTGGAAGATGGGGCCTGATGTCAACCCCGAGATCAAGGATAAAGCGTCTTGGGCGTTCGATGGCAGTCTGAAGCTGGGGATACTGCCTGTCTCGTTTATGCCTGAGCAACGGCACGGCCGGCTCGGCCGGCCGGGTTTTGGGTCGGCTCGGTTAGAAACCGAGCCGGGCCAGGCCGGCCTGTCCCGGGCCGGATTCCCAGATTTGTCGGCCCGGCCCGGGTTTCTAGACCTGGGCTGACCTTGGCCCGGTGGCCGGACTGGTCCGGCCCGGTCTAAAATCGGGCCAAAACCGGGCCAGCCGGCCCCGGGACTCCTTTTTTACTGTTTCGGTGGGGGTATTGATGGGGGGATGTCGTGCTTTGCTCTGCCAGATTTCCTAGGTGGTTGTCGCCCCTGTAACGTGTCTCATGGTCCCCTAAATGCGCAGGATAAGCAGCTATGCATGGGAGGTGGCACACAAGGCCATGAACCATTGGTTTTTAGGCCGTTGGCTAGGGCAGGCCCTCATGCTATCGAAAATCCAGAATCAGGCAGTCATGTATGCACGTTACCAAGCCTAATAAATAAAGTACCAAAGAGGACCCATGGCACATTGCCGGGTCCTTGGAATGACGTGATAATGTCCAATCCAATCCCAACCTGCACCACCAACCCCAATCCCACTCAAAGTCCCTCATCATCCCCCTCAAGGGACACTCCTCTAGTTGCCTTAGATTCTTTCGCCCCTGCCCAGCCCCGCCTTGCCCCTCCCTTTCCTGCAGCAGCGCCGAGGGCGTGCCTACACCGCCCTCCATTGCCTCGTCGAGAGGGGTGTCCGCTGCCCACCACGCGCCCCCCCCCCCCCCCCCCCCCCCCCCCACGTTTCACCGTACCCTGCGCCGCCCTTCCACGCGGCCGACCGCGCGGAGGTGTGTGCCCTTCCCATTGCCAGCCCCCCCCTGTGCGATGCCCTCCCTGCCCTAGCGTCTTTGCCCTACCACCACCTCCGGGCCTCCTGTCATTCCCTTCTCCCCGCCTACGCTGTTTTGGCAGGCCGTCGCTGGACTCCTCGGACAACTCCTCCCCACTGATGCGGTACTCTTCGTCATCATCCCCCGCCTGCCCAGAAACCTCGCGCTCTCCCATCTCCTCCTCCCCCCCCTCCTCAGCCGTTCCCCGGTGGATGTGTGAGCCCATCGGGCAGCATCACCTGCTGGAGGGCCCCCGAAACCCATAACTACTAACCCCACCAGCGCTCGCCCCCGCGATCGTGCTCTGACGCGACGTTCCAACCAAAATCGCCCATTGCCTCGATTCGAGCACCACCAACTTCGCCTCACGCCTAGTGACGCACGGAACCTTCAGCTATTCAGAGTGGCAGGCCAAATCGCAGGCCAACCATGCTACTACAAATTGTAAATCGAAATAAATGTAATGTCAAAGGTAGGTTGAGATCGTTTGACGAGTAACGTTGGTAGTTTACGAACAAGTCACTGTGGAGAAATGCATTCGTAACTTGAGTAACGCGCCAAAAGGATCTCATGAAAACGGATCTGTGGCGCTCGGCCGATTTTCAGAGGGGGTACGTTTTCTAGGGTAGAGAGAACAGCGCACTACTTTTCCTAGCCAGAATCGTCGCGCAAGAGAAATGCATCCGTAGATCTACCCTAAATTATGGGTACAGTTGTCTCTGGACTAAAAACGATGGTGGCTGCCACGGATCCTAGGGTTAGGAGCCCCTAGATGCCTACGTAGTTGGTTGCGACTCTTGTCTGCTGTGAAAATGAGTCGTGATGGTAAAAAAATCGACTTCATTGTCGAATCTTTGACCCCCGCGGATGACCGAGCCGCGCAGGCCAGGCTACGGCCCGCACTTCAGGCCAGGCCAGCCCGGCCCGACTTCGGAACGCGGCCCGACGACGGGCCTGTCCGGACCGGTCCGGCCCGTTCAGCTCGTCGGACCGGTCCGGACCGGCCCGGCCCAGCGGGCCAAACCCGGACCGGCCCGCTCCGCTCGGGCCGGTACCCTTCAAAGTATTGCCCGGTCCGGGAAAATTCTGGAACCGGTCCGACCGGCCCGGTCCGTCCTGGCCTTTTGCTCATGCCTAGTCTCGTTGTTCTGGCTCGGGCCACACCTACTTTGTCCAGGTGAGGCCTGCAGTTGACTTGTGTTGACTGGCGTACCTCAGTTGACTGTGAAAGCTGGGGCCGGTGTGAACCCCGAGGGGAAGATAACCGGTTCTGGGCGTTCGGTGGGAGTCTGAAGCGTGGATATTGCATGTGGCACTGTTTTTCTCGGGCCACACTTACTTTGTGCTGGTGAGGCTGCATTTGACTGTGGTTGACTGAGGTTGACTTGAGTTGACTGCACCTTACAATCCTGAACGTCTACAGCCCTCTGCCCTCCCTTCTCCTCCTGTCTCTACCTGCTTTGCTCCCCTCCCTACAAGCACCTGTACAGGCAGGTAGCCCTAGATACATCTGCCATGCACGCCACGTTTCAGTTTGCTGAATGGTCGGCAAGAGGCACCCGCCCACTCTTCCTACCCCCCGTCTCTCTTCCTCTCCACCTCCCGCCTTCTTGTCCCCTCCCCACCAGCACCTGTATCGCACGGTAGGCCTGGACTGAAGCCCCATGCCATGCCATGCACGCCATATGTCTCTCGCCCGCCCAACCCCCACCCCGTTGTATTTGAGTCAACTCAAAATACAACTGGACAAGCTGACACACGGTTTATTCTCCGGCCGACGTGCATTGATTGCATGGAAGCTGCCAAAGAAGATCAAGGATTTTATAGTCTCAGCAAGGAAATGCTAGTTTAGTGTTTCAAATTTGTTACACTTATCTAGTTTTTTGCTAGGCTACAGTGACCCCTTCTCGGGGATGGTGTGGACCCTCGAGTTTTTCTCGGGTCGCACTCTCACTATTTAGACAGCTCGAATGCTCCGATGTTCAGTAGATGCTGATGAAGGCTTGTATAAGCCAAAACTAGTTCATCACTGGTTTTCCATCAAAACTTCCTGAACATCCTTCAGCTCGAGCTTTTTCAGAACCGCTGCCTCGCAAGGCTTTTTCCACCATGGTTTAGCCCTGAAAATATGTGTCCATTGGTCTGCACGCCATATGTCTCTCGCCCGCCCAACCCCCACCCCCTTCCTCCCCAAGCAGCACCTGTACCGCAAGATAGGTCTGGAGCCATACGCCATGCACGCCACCTTCCAGTTTACCGGCACGGGCGGCAAGAGGCCATCGCTTCAGAGAGGCCATGGCGTTCATTGACCCGCCTGAGTACTACGACCCTCCAGGTGAGGCTCGACCCCCAGTGGGGGGGGCTGGTATCATAGGCATAGATGGGATTACTGGGACACACAGACAACATGAAGCACCGCTTCCAGCTGTGGCGTTCGATAACCCCCCGAGCATCACAACGTGCCAAGTGGGGATTGTGCAGGTGGTTGTGGATAGTACTCCCAAGCTACAGCCGCCCGAGTACTGCAACCCTCCCCATGCGGATTCTGAGGCTGGTAGAACCTTCTTGGTAACTTGATTGCTGGCCTTTCTTCTCCTGTCTCACCTGCCTTCGCTTTGTACGTACTATGAGGCACTCAAGGTACATAGTAGGTGCAACCACCTTTGTCAAAATCACCTAGTGGTTGCTTGTCATCCCACGTACCATGATGCACGTCCCATATGATATTGTGATGTGGCGGCGTGCCAGGTGGCGTGTTGTCATTCGTGAACAACATCCCGGAGGAGCTCCTGACTGGGGGGGATCACTCCCTGCAAACCCACTTCAACCTCGCCAACTACCAGGTGAGTCAGTTACCAGGTGTGCGGACAAGATGTGTGGTGTGGAAACCACTCAAGTGGTACTACCCCTCCTCCTACCCTCCTCCTCCTCCCCCTCATCGTCGTCGTCGTCGTCCTCCTCCTCCTCTTCCTCCTCCTCCTCCTCGTCCTCCTCGTCGTCGTCGTCGTCGTCGTCCTCCTCCTCCCTCCTCCTCCTCCTCCTCCTCCTCCTCCTCCTCCTCCTCCTCCTCCTCCTCCCCCTCCTCCTCCTCCTCCTCCTTCCTCCTCCTCCTCCTCCTCCTCCTCCTCCTCCTCCTCCTCCTCGCCTCGGCCTCCTCCTCCTCCTCGGCCTCCTCCTCCTCCTCGGCCTCCTCCTCCTCCTCGGCCTCCTCCTCCTCCCCTCCTCGGCCTCCTCCTCCTCCTCGGCCTCCTCCCCTCCTCGGCCTCCTCCTCCTCCTCCTCCTCCTCAGCCTCCTCCTCCTCCTCCTCCTCGGCCTCCTCCTCCTCGCCTCCTCCTCCTCCTCCTCCTCCTCCTCCTCCTCTCCTCCTCCTCCTCCTCCTCCTCCTCCTCCTCCTCCTCCTCCTCCTCATCTTCCTCCTCTTCCTCCTCCTCCTCCTCCTCCTCCTCCTCCTCCTCCTCCTCCTCCTCCTCCTCCTCCTCCTCCTCCGACCTCTCCCCCCTCTCCCACGCCGAGATCCCATGGTCCGCGGACTTCCTCCTCCTTGTCCTCCTCGTCCTCCTCGTCGTCGTCCTCCTCCTCCCGTGCCCTCTTCCCCTTCCCCTTCCCCTTACCCTGCCCCTTCTCATTCCCCTTCCCCTTCCCTTCCCCTTCCCCTTCCCCTTCCCCTTCCCTTTCCCTTTCCCCGAGCCCTTTGCCTTCTTCGAACACTTCACGGTGGAGGTCTTCCCTTTCCTCGTCTTCCTCTCGCTGATGCTCCCAAGGACTCCCAATCAATAGTGCACTCAACCGCTCCCTCCACCCCCTCCTCCTCCGCCTCCACCTCCTCCCCCTCCCCCTCTTCCTCTTGGGAGGTGGGTGGAGCGGGGCCAGAGCTCCCTTCTCCAAGCACGCTAGCGCCTAGGTTTTGGTACAGGCGGTCCCGAGCCGCAACCTTCCTATCGAAAGCCTTCCTCGAGCGCTGGCTGATCACCACCACCGTGACTAGGCATGAGCAACCGAGTTGAGTTTCTGACTCGACTCGTCAACTTGGCTCGCCTTTTGGCGAGTCGAGTTTTTTTTTGTGCTCTTCCGACTCATCCCGAGTCGAGTCGAGTTGAGTCGGTCAAGTCACGAGTCAAAGCTCGAACGGCTTGTCCAACATTTTCGGCCGAGTCACGGCCGTGACGTCAATCAAGGTGGGAGGCGTTCATCCGGTTGGGATCTTGACGTCGCACCCGTGCGAATGCGACCACGCTCGCTCCACCTCGGATATGGTCGTGGGTTGGGAGAGCACCTTCACCGCGATCTCCTGCAACGCCCTCACCTCCTCTCCAAAGGTGGTCAACCATTCCGCCTCCGAGAGCCGCCCACTCTCCTCAAGGTGAGTGGTGGCCCACCGTGCTTCCAAACTGCCCAACGTCCCCTCCTCGCTATGGGAGTGTGCGAGTTGGGTCTGGAGGAGTGTGCGGTGCTGAATGGTCGCCTGCCACGCCTACGTCACCCTTTTCACCCCCTTACCAATCTCCAAGTCGGTCCTCACTTCCTTGGCAAAACGGTTATGGGGGTTGAGTAGCCAACCCACAGTATGGAGCGGGTTGTGGAGTTGGCCGTCCCAACGTGCTGCTATGATCCTTTGCACCTTGGTCAAGAATGATGCCTTGTTCGTGGCCAAGAGGAGCCATGTTCTCTTGATGAAGAATGTGGCTGAAAACAAATTCAGAGAACAACGGTTTGATGCGGGTTAGTAAGGGCCGGAAAGGTAGGGTCTGCGAATTGCCATCGACCGTACAAATAAGGTACGCAACGGAATATGGGCGGAGGGGGGATGGGCAAGTATTTGCGGCCTCCGCGACCTTGTTGGTCTTCATTGTCACATCGAGCATCAACCCATAGATGCGCCCCATGAGGTGAGAACGGGTGTCCACCGCCCGAAGCACCTCATAAATCGGCATCAACAACTTTTGCACCGCCTCCCACCGAGCTTTAAAAAGCCTCGTCTAGGAGAAGGCTTTGAATCCGCTTCCCCTTCTTCGTTTTCGCTGCAGGCACCCGTGCACTCCTTGCTAATCACCATGCTCTTCAACTGCTTTTACCTCCAAGAAACGGCCCACCGTAAGGACTTGTGTGCCAAATTGAGTAGCCTCGGGACGGACTAGTTCCAACTCACTAAAGACCTCTCGAAAGAGGGTCACGGCGGTGGCGCTAGCCCACGAGCATGGCTACTTGGTGCGCTTGCCACAGGACCTTCTGCACCACGCCTATCATCCCAAGGTCACTGAGCATCCAGTCTAGGCAATGCGCCGCACAATTGGTGAAGAATACCATGGGGAATCCTTCACCAAGGTCAGCCGCCACCCTCTTGTTGTTGCTCGCGTTGTCCACCACGACTTGGACAACGCGAGTATGTCCTACCTTGCAAATCGCACCCTTGCGAAGTCGGATTTGCACTTCGCGATATTCTTGAATTTCGACGCAGGGGTGCCGTAAAGGTGCTCTTGGATGCGTGTCGCACTACCCGAAATGTTCAAACTGCAGTGCAAGCATTCCGACCGTATGACCTTACCATCGTCATCACAAGTATGCTTCACATGCGCCCACAAAGGGGATGGTGCGCGGGGCATGGCGATAAGGCGCCTACGCCTCGCGAAGCTGTTGTGCGCTAGATCGCGCCTGAAATACGCGCTGGAATCGGCGTGAAGTAGTTCAGCCACGCTGGGTGGGCGGAGTTTTGCTACTAATTCTATAATGCTAGACTAATGAATGCTCTCTGTTGCTGCTCTGTAATTTGTATCTCTAGCGCGTAAGGTTTAGTTGGGTTAGGGTTGCAAGAGCGGGTTGGGAGGGTGAAATTGCGATTTCGAATGCGACTCGGTTGCGTGAGTCGCACAATTCGCGACAGCCCGCTATTGGGCGCGATCGAAATCGCCAGCCCTTGCGAAAACCGATTTTGGTTTCGGCAACAGGTCTGGCGAGAATTCCAAAATGCGCTCCTCGGGACACGCGAAATTTCGCGGCTTCGGGAATGTGTTGACCGAACATTCAGGGACGGTTGGGTGTATACCCAGCCGTTCGAATTCGGTGTCAAATTCGAGTTGGTGCAGTACACCCACGATTTTAAAACTTCGACCGTATAAAACAACCATTTTTTTCAACCAAAGAAAAGCTAACTTTCAGAACCGTTTTAAACCGTTTAATACAGCCGAAAAATACGGGACCGTAACAAACGGTCTAAAAAAGAAAAAAAAAAACACACCGTTTTTTTTTACCTTGCTGTCGGGTCAAGCCCCAGCTGCTGCTGACTGCGGGGATCACTCCCTGCAAACCCATTTCAACCTTGTCAACGAGTTGGTATTGTTTTTTACAATTCCCCCTCTGTGCCTCTCTGTGCTTCTCCCCTGCTTCTCTGTGCCTCTCCGTGCTCCCGTCTTGCAGCTAACCAATCTCAGATCAGCTCTCGCCATTGCAACCATACTCAACCGAACGCTGGTTAGTCTGCCCCCTCTGCCTCTTAGCCTCTAGTCTGGCTGTTTTAACAGGCATCTAAAAAGTAGATGCCTCATTTGTCGGCCCTGTTGTCGACCCTGTGGAGGATGAAGTGAGCTTTTCATCCCAGCAACGCCTTTGCCTGCTGGAGGTTACTTCAGGGGCGCCTTACAAAATAGCTGCCTCATTTCTCCCCCCTGGACCACCGGGTCGAGCATTGGAGTGGAGGTGCAGTGAGTGAGCCTTCCCATCCCAGCAACGTGTTTGCCCTTCTGGAGGTGAAGAGGGTTCAGCCGCTTCCTTTCTGTTCCAACACCGCCTTTAAATATCGGCCTGCCTCTCCCCGCAGGTACTACCCACCACATGGGTGTGCTTTCACCGAATCTAGTTGACCACATGGTGGTGCAGCGAACCTTGCTGTCCCCGCAACCGCTTTCCTTTGCCCTGCTGCAGATACAGCCGAGTCATCTGCTCCCTTCCTCTCCCCACAAATCCTTCGCCCTGCCTTTCTTCTCAGGTGCTCCCAGCCACATGGGTCCGGTTTGACCGACTCTGTTTCCCACACCTAGGGATTGTAGAAGGCACTGACACACCACAGCCGTTCCTGTCGCCCCTGGCGAGCCAAGTCGAGCCAGGCTCGGCATGCTGCCCATGTCTAACTTGAATTGACTGGAAGATGGGGCCTGATGTCAACCCCGAGATCAAGGATAAAGCGTCTTGGGCGTTCGATGGCAGTCTGAAGCTGGGGATACTGCCTGTCTCGTTTATGCCTGAGCAACGGCACGGCCGGCTCGGCCCGGCCCGGTTTTGGGTCGGCTCGGTTAGAAACCGAGCCGGGGCCAGGCCGGGCCTGTCCCGGGCCGGATTCCCAGATTTGTCGGCCCGGCCCGGGTTTCTAGACCTGGGCTGACCTTGGCCCGGTGGCCGGACTGGTCCGGCCCGGTCTAAAATCGGGCCAAAACCGGGCCAGCCGGCCCGGGACTCCTTTTTTACTGTTTCGGGTGGGGTATTGATGGGGGGATGTCGTGCTTTGCTCTGCCAGATTTCCTAGGTGGTTGTCGCCCCTTGTAACGTGTCTCATGGTCCCCTAAATGCGCAGGATAAGCAGCTATGCATGGGAGGTGGCACACAAGGCCATGAACCATTGGTTTTTAGGCCGTTGGCTAGGGCAGGCCCTCATGCTATCGAAAATCCAGAATCAGGCAGTCATGTATGCACGTTACCAAGCCTAATAAATAAAGTACCAAAGAGGACCCATGGCACATTGCCGGGTCCTTGGAATGACGTGATAATGTCCAATCCAATCCCAACCTGCACCACCAACCCCAATCCCACTCAAAGTCCCTCATCATCCCCCTCAAGGGACACTCCTCTAGTTGCCTTAGATTCTTTCGCCCCTGCCCAGCCCCCGCCTTGCCCCCTCCCTTTCCTGCAGCAGCGCCGAGGGCGTGCCTACACCGCCCTCCATTGCCTCGTCGAGAGGGGTGTCCCCTCGCTGCCCACCACGCGGCGATCCTCCCCCCCCCCCCCCCCCCCCCCCCCCCACGACCTTCACCGTACCCTGCGCCGCCCGTTCCACGCGGCCGACCGCGCGGAGGTGTGTGCCCTTCCCCATTGCCAGCCCCCCCCTGTGCGATGCCCTCCCTGCCCTAGCGTCTTTGCCCTACCCACCACCTCCGGGCCTCCTGTCATTCCCTTCTCCCCGCCTACGCTGTTTTGGCAGGCCGTCGCTGGACTCCTCGGACAACTCCTCCCCACTGATGCGGTACTCTTCGTCATCATCCCCCGCCTGCCCAGAAACCTCGCGCTCTCCCATCTCCTCCTCCCCCCCCCTCCTCAGCCGTTCCCCGGTGGATGTGTGAGCCCATCGGGCAGCATCACCTGCTGGAGGGCCCCTCGAAACCCATAACTACTAACCCCACCAGCGCTCGCCCCCGCGATCGTGCTCTGACGCGACGTTCCACCAAAATCGCCCATTGCCTCGATTTGAGCACCACCAACTTCGCCTCACGCCTAGTGACGCGCGGAACCTTCAGCTATTCAGAGTGGCAGGCCAAATCGCAGGCCAACCATGCTACTACAAATTGTAAATCGAAATAAATGTAATGTCAAAGGTAGGTTGAGATCGTTTGACGAGTAACGTTGGTAGTTTACGAACAAGTCACTGTGGAGAAATGCGATTCGTAACTTGAGTAACGCGCCAAAGGAGTCTCATGAAAACGGATCTGTGGCGCTCGGCGATTTTCAGAGGGGGTACGTTTTCTAGGGTAGAGAGAACAGCGCACTACTTTTCCTAGCCAGAAATCGTCGCGCAAGAGAAATGCATCCGTAGATCTACCCTAAATTATGGGTAGCAGTTGTCTCTGGACTAAAACGATGGTGGCTGCCACGGATCCTAGGGTTAGGAGCCCCTAGATGCCTACGTAGTTGGTTGCGACTCTTGTCTGCTGTGAAAATGAGTCGTGATGGTAAAAAAATCGACTTCATTGTCGAATCTTTGACCCCGCGGATGACCGAGCCGCGCAGGCCAGGCTACGGCCCGCACTTCAGGCCAGGCCAGCCCGGCCCGACTTCGGGAACGCGGCCCGACGACGGGCCTGTCCGGACCGGTCCGGCCCGTTCAGCTCGTCGGACCGGTCCGGACCGGCCCGGCCCAGCGGGCCAAACCCGGACCGGCCCGCTCCGCTCGGGCCGGTACCCTTCAAAGTATTGGCCCGGTCCGGGAAAATTCTGGACCGGTCCGGACCGGCCCGGTCCGTCCTGGCCTTTTGCTCATGCCTAGTCTCGTTGTTCTGCTCGGGCCACACCTACTTTGTCCAGGTGAGGCCTGCAGTTGACTTGTGTTGACTGGGCGTGACCTCAGTTGACTGTGAAGCTGGGGCCGGTGTGAACCCCGAGGGGAACGATAACCGGTTCTGGGCGTTCGGTGGGAGTCTGAAGCGTGGGATATTGCATGTGGCACTGTTTTTCTCGGGCCACACTTACTTTGTGCTGGTGAGGCTGCATTTGACTGTGGTTGACTGAGGTTGACTTGAGTTGACTGCACCTTACAATCCTGAACGTCTACAGCCCTCTGCCCTCCCTTCTCCTCCTGTCTCTACCTGCTTTGCTCCCCTCCCTACAAGCACCTGTACAGGCAGGTAGCCCTAGATACATCTGCCATGCACGCCACGTTTCAGTTTGCTGAATGGTCGGCAAGAGGCACCCGCCCACTCTTCCTACCCCCCGTCTCTCTTCCTCTCCACCTCCCGCCTTCTTGTCCCCTCCCCACCAGCACCTGTATCGCACGGTAGGCCTGGACTGAAGCCCCATGCCATGCCATGCACGCCATATGTCTCTCGCCCGCCCAACCCCCACCCGTTGTATTTTGAGTCAACTCAAAATACAACTGGACAAGCTGACACACGGTTTATTCTCCGGCCGACGTGCATTGATTGCATGGAAGCTGCCAAAGAAGATCAAGGATTTTATAGTCTCAGCAAGGAAATGCTAGTTTAGTGTTTCAAATTTGTTACACTTATCTAGTTTTTTGCTAGGCTACAGTGACCCCTTCTCGGGGATGGTGTGGACCCTCGAGTTTTTCTCGGGTCGCACTCTCACTATTTAGACAGCTCGAATGCTCCGATGTTCAGTAGATGCTGATGAAGGCTTGTATAAGCCAAAACTAGTTCATCACTGGTTTTCCATCAAAACTTCCTGAACATCCCTTCAGCTCGAGCTTTTTCAGAACCGCTGCCTCGCAAGGCTTTTTCCACCATGGTTAGCCCTGAAAAATATGTGTCCATTGGTCTGCACGCCATATGTCTCTCGCCCGCCCAACCCCCACCCCCTTCCTCCCCAAGCAGCACCTGTACCGCAAGATAGGTCTGGAGCCATACGCCATGCACGCCACCTTCCAGTTTACCGGCACGGGCGGCAAGAGGCATCGCTTCAGAGAGGCCATGGCGTTCATTGACCCGCCTGAGTACTACGACCCTCCAGGTGAGGCTCGACCCCCCAGTGGGGGGGGCTGGTATCATAGGCATAGATGGGATTACTGGGACACACAGACAACATGAAGCACCGCTTCCAGCTGTGGCGTTCGATAACCCCCCCGAGCATCACAACGTGCCAAGTGGGGATTGTGCAGGTGGTTGTGGATAGTACTCCCAAGCTACAGCCGCCCGAGTACTGCAACCCTCCCCATGCGGATTCTGAGGCTGGTAGAACCTTCTTGGTAACTTGATTGCTGGCCTTTCTTCTCCTGTCTCACCTGCCTTCGCTTTGTACGTACTATGAGGCACTCAAGGTACATAGTAGGTGCAACCACCTTTGTCAAAATCACCTAGTGGTTGCTTGTCATCCCACGTACCATGATGCACGTCCCATATGATATTGTGATGTGGCGGCGTGCCAGGTGGCGTGTTGTCATTCGTGAACAACATCCCGGAGGAGCTCCTGACTGGGGGGGATCACTCCCTGCAAACCCACTTCAACCTCGCCAACTACCAGGTGAGTCAGTTACCAGGTGTGCGGACAAGATGTGTGGTGTGGAAACCACTCAAGTGGTACTACCCCTCCTCCTACCCCTCCTCCTCCTCCCCCTCATCGTCGTCGTCGTCGTCCTCCTCCTCCTCTTCCTCCTCCTCCTCCTCGTCCTCCTCGTCGTCGTCGTCGTCGTCGTCCTCCTCCTCCTCCTCCTCCTCCTCCTCCTCCTCCTCCTCCTCCTCCTCCTCCTCCTCCTCCTCCCCCTCCTCCTCCTCCTCCTCCTTCCTCCTCCTCCTCCTCCTCCTCCTCCTCCTCCTCCTCCTCCTCGGCCTCGGCCTCCTCCTCCTCCTCGGCCTCCTCCTCCTCCTCGGCCTCCTCCTCCTCCTCCTCCTCGGCCTCCTCCTCCTCCTCGGCCTCCTCCCCCTCCTCGGCCTCCTCCTCCTCCTCCTCCTCCTCAGCCTCCTCCTCCTCCTCCTCCTCGGCCTCCTCCTCCTCGGCCTCCTCCTCCTCCTCCTCCTCCTCCTCCTCCTCCTCCTCCTCCTCCTCCTCCTCCTCCTCCTCCTCCTCCTCCTCCTCCTCCTCATCTTCCTCCTCTTCCTCCTCCTCCTCCTCCTCCTCCTCCTCCTCCTCCTCCTCCTCCTCCTCCTCCTCCTCCTCCTCCGACCCCCCCCTCCGACCTCTCCCCCCTCTCCCACGCCGAGATCCCATGGTCCGCGGACTTCCTCCTCCTTGTCCTCCTCGTCCTCCTCGTCGTCGTCCTCCTCCTCCCGTGCCCTCTTCCCCTTCCCCTTCCCCTTACCCTGCCCCTTCTCATTCCCCTTCCCCTTCCCTTCCCCTTCCCCTTCCCCTTCCCCTTCCCTTTCCCTTTCCCCGAGCCCTTTGCCTTCTTCGAACACTTCACGGTGGAGGTCTTCCCTTTCCTCGTCTTCCTCTCGCTGATGCTCCCAAAGGACTCCCAATCAATAGTGCACTCAACCGCTCCCTCCACCCCCTCCTCCTCCGCCTCCACCTCCTCCCCCTCCCCCTCTTCCTCTTGGGAGGTGGGTGGAGCGGGGCCAGAGCTCCCTTCTCCAAGCACGCTAGCGCCTAGGTTTTGGTACAGGCGGTCCCGAGCCGCAACCTTCCTATCGAAAGCCTTCCTCGAGCGCTGGCTGATCACCACCACCGTGACTAGGCATGAGCAACCGAGTTGAGTTTCTGACTCGACTCGTCAACTTGGCTCGCCTTTTGGCGAGTCGAGTTTTTTTTTGTGCTCTTCCGACTCATCCCGAGTCGAGTCGAGTTGAGTCGGTCAAGTCACGAGTCAAAGCTCGAACGGCTTGTCCAACATTTTCGGCCGAGTCACGGCCGTGACGTCAATCAAGGTGGGAGGCGTTCATCCGGTTGGGATCTTGACGTCGCACCCGTGCGAATGCGACCACGCTCGCTCCACCTCGGATATGGTCGTGGGTTGGGAGAGCACCTTCACCGCGATCTCCTGCAACGCCCTCACCTCCTCTCCAAAGGTGGTCAACCATTCCGCCTCCGAGAGCCGCCCACTCTCCTCAAGGTGAGTGGTGGCCCACCGTGCTTCCAAACTGCCCAACGTCCCCTCCTCGCTATGGGAGTGTGCGAGTTGGGTCTGGAGGAGTGTGCGGTGCTGAATGGTCGCCTGCCACGCCTACGTCACCCTTTTCACCCCCTTACCAATCTCCAAGTCGGTCCTCACTTCCTTGGCAAAACGGTTATGGGGGTTGAGTAGCCAACCCACAGTATGGAGCGGGTTGTGGAGTTGGCCGTCCCAACGTGCTGCTATGATCCTTTGCACCTTGGTCAAGAATGATGCCTTGTTCGTGGCCAAGAGGAGCCATGTTCTCTTGATGAAGAATGTGGCTGAAAACAAATTCAGAGAACAACGGTTTGATGCGGGTTAGTAAGGGCCGGAAAGGTAGGGTCTGCGAATTGCCATCGACCGTACAAATAAGGTACGCAACGGAATATGGGCGGAGGGGGGATGGGCAAGTATTTGCGGCCTCCGCGACCTTGTTGGTCTTCATTGTCACATCGAGCATCAACCCATAGATGCGCCCCATGAGGTGAGAACGGGTGTCCACCGCCCGAAGCACCTCATAAATCGGCATCAACAACTTTTGCACCGCCTCCACCGAGCTTTAAAAAGCCTCGTCTAGGAGAAGGCTTTGAATCCGCTTCCCCTTCTTCGTTTTCGCTGCAGGCACCCGTGCACTCCTTGCTAATCACCATGCTCTTCAACTGCTTTTTACCTCCAAGAAACGGCCCACCGTAAGGACTTGTGTGCCAAATTGAGTAGCCTCGGGACGGACTAGTTCCAACTCACTAAAGACCTCTCGAAAGAGGGTCACGGCGGTGGCGCTAGCCCACGAGCATGGCTACTTGGTGCGCTTGCCACAGGACCTTCTGCACCACGCCTATCATCCCAAGGTCACTGAGCATCCAGTCTAGGCAATGCGCCGCACAATTGGTGAAGAATACCATGGGGAATCCTTCACCAAGGTCAGCCGCCACCCTCTTGTTGTTGCTCGCGTTGTCCACCACGACTTGGACAACGCGAGTATGTCCTACCTTGCAAATCGCACCCTTGCGAAGTCGGATTTGCACTTCGCGATATTCTTGAATTTCGACGCAGGGGTGCCGTAAAGGTGCTCTTGGATGCGTGTCGCACTACCCGAAATGTTCAAACTGCAGTGCAAGCATTCCGACCGTATGACCTTACCATCGTCATCACAAGTATGCTTCACATGCGCCCACAAAGGGGATGGTGCGCGGGGCATGGCGATAAGGCGCCTACGCCTCGCGAAGCTGTTGTGCGCTAGATCGCGCCTGAAATACGCGCTGGAATCGGCGTGAAGTAGTTCAGCCACGCTGGGTGGGCGGAGTTTTGCTACTAATTCTATAATGCTAGACTAATGAATGCTCTCTGTTGCTGCTCTGTAATTTGTATCTCTAGCGCGTAAGGTTTAGTTGGGTTAGGGTTGCAAGAGCGGGTTGGGAGGGGTGAAATTGCGATTTCGAAATGCGACTCGGTTGCGTGAGTCGCACAATTCGCGACAGCCCGCTATTGGGCGCGATCGAAATCGCCAGCCCCTTGCGAAACCGATTTTGGTTTCGCAACAGGTCTGGCGAGAATTCCAAAATGCGCTCCTCGGGACACGCGAAATTTCGCGCTTCGGGAATGTGTTGACCGAACATTCAGGGACGGTTGGGTGTATACCCAGCCGTTCGAATTCGGTGTCAAATTCGAGTTGGTGCAGTACACCCACGATTTTAAAACTTCGACCGTATAAAACAACCATTTTTTTCAACCAAAGAAAAGCTAACTTTCAGAACCGTTTTAAACCGTTTAATACAGCCGAAAAATACGGGACCGTAACAAACGGTCTAAAAAAGAAAAAAAAAAAAAACACACCGTTTTTTTTTACCTTGCTGTCGGGTCAAGCCCCAGCTGCTGCTGACTGCGGGGGATCACTCCCTGCAAACCCATTTCAACCTTGTCAACGAGTTGGTATTGTTTTTTACAATTCCCCTCTGTGCCTCTCTGTGCTTCTCCCCTGCTTCTCTGTGCCTCTCCGTGCTCCCGTCTTGCAGCTAACCAATCTCAGATCAGCTCTCGCCATTGCAACCATACTCAACCGAACGCTGGTTAGTCTGCCCCCTCTGCCTCTTAGCCTCTAGTCTGGCTGTTTTAACAGGCATCTAAAAAGTAGATGCCTCATTTGTCGGCCCTGTTGTCGACCCTGTGGAGGATGAAGTGAGCTTTTCATCCCAGCAACGCCTTTGCCCTGCTGGAGGTTACTTCAGGGGCGCCTTACAAAATAGCTGCCTCATTTCTCCCCCCTGGACCACCGGGTCGAGCATTGGAGTGGAGGTGCAGTGAGTGAGCCTTCCCATCCCAGCAACGTGTTTGCCCTTCTGGAGGTGAAGAGGGTTCAGCCGCTTCCTTTCTGTTCCAACTCCGCCTTTAAATATCGGCCTGCCTCTCCCCGCAGGTACTACCCACCACATGGGTGTGCTTTCACCGAATCTAGTTGACCACATGGTGGTGCAGCGAACCTTGCTGTCCCCGCAACCGCTTTCCTTTGCCCTGCTGCAGATACAGCCGAGTCATCTGCTCCCTTCCCCTCCCCACAAATCCTTCGCCCTGCCTTTCTTCTCAGGTGCTCCCAGCCACATGGGTCCGGTTTGACCGACTCTGGTTCCCACACCTAGGGATTGTAGAAGGCACTGACACACCACAGCCGTTCCTGTCGCCCCTGGACCACCTGGTGGACGTGCAGCGCATGCTGCCGGGGAAGCTCAAGGAGGACGAGTTCGGCCCTGCTGTGCCCATTCGGGAGTACTCCTTTCTTGACAACCCGCGGACACCCCAGGCGGTTAGTAGCCTCTGGGACGTACGTTGCATCTCCACCAGCATTCGTTCCTTGACAACCCGACAATTCCACAGGTGGTAAGTACCGTTGGTATGCGAGGGTTCTGTCGTTCCTCTCCCCCCTCCCCCTGGACCACCTGGTGGAGGTGCAGCGAATGCTGCCAGGGAAGCTCAAGTCCATGCGCACACACAGCTCACAGCACGCACACATCAGCAGTGCCAACCCGTTCCTGTTTCCTGTCGTCCTTTTACCACCTGGTGGAGGTGCTACGAATGCTGCCGGGGAAGCTCAAGGAGGACGAGTTCGGCCCTGCTGTGCCGATATGAGAGCACTCCTTCCTTGACAACCCGCATCGCACACCACAAGCGGTAAGCCTACGCACCACACAGCTCACAGCACACACCGCAGCGGTAGCAGCAGCAGCAGCAGCCCGCACCTGAAGAAGGACGAGTTTGGCCCTGCTGTGCCGAATATATGAGAGCACTCATTCCTTAACAACCTACGAGCAGCGCAGAAGCCACAAAAACACCACTCCACCACTCCTCCAGAACCCCCAGAAACCATCTGACCACTTCCCTTCCCGACTGCTCTCCATCCTGGCCCTCTTCCCCTCAGCTGCTCAAGTCGAAGCTCTCGGTCGAGCTATGTGGTGAGGGCTCCCCCGGCTGAACTCTCACGCCACACCCCTTCTGACCACCCTCCTGTCCTCTTGACTTCTCCCCTTTTCCTCACCCGCCCCCTTTTCGCCCCTTCAGCTGCTCAAGTCGAAGCTATCAGTGGAGCTGTGCGGCGAAGGCTCCCCCGACTGCCTCACTCCAAGCAAGCACTATCTAATCAGCCCCCGTCTCCTTGATCCTGTCCCCTATCCCCCTCAGCTGCTCAAGTCAAAGCTCGCAGTGGAGCTGTGCAACGAAGGCTCTCCTGACTGTCCTCTCACACCAGACCCTCCTACTGACAAGATCCGAATAAAGAAGTCGCCACAGCAGAATGAGGTGAGGCAGCGACATGTGCGAGGCCGATCCAAGCTAAGTGAGGGGAATTGTGGCATGGGTGGCAAGGGTGTGAAGGGTGGGCATTGGGATGAGGTGGAGGGAAGCGGGCTTCAACAGGTGGGGGGTGCATGGGGGGAATGTATGGGGGGAGTGTATGGGGGGAATGTATGGGGGGAGTGTATGGGGGGAATGTATGGGGGGAATGTATGGGGGGAATGTATGGGGGGAATGTATGGGGGGGATGTATGGGGGGGATGTATGGGGGGGATGTATGGGGGGGATGTATAGGGGGGATGTATGGGGGGGATGTATGGGGGGGAATGTATGGGGGGGATGTATGGGGGGGAATGTATGGGGGGGGATGCATCGGGGGGGATGCATTGCATAGCGGGGTGCATGGGCGGGGATGCATGGGGGGGGATGCACAAGGGGGATGCATGAAGGGGGAGGGAATGCATTGGGGGGGATGCATGAGGGGGGATGCGTAGTGGTGGGTGCATGGGGGTAGGTTCATGGGGGTGGATGCATGGTGGTGGGTGGGTGCATGGGAGTGGATGTATGGGGTTGGGTGTATGGGGGGCGGGTGCATGTGGGGGGATGCAGGAAGGGGGGGGGGGGGGGGGGGTTTCATGGGAGGGGGGGAGGGCGCATGGGGGTGGATGCATGGGGTTGGGTGCATGGGGGGGATGGGTGCATGGGTGCATGGGTGCATGAGGGTGGATGCATGGAGAGGGGAATGCACAGGGTGGATGCGTGGGGTTGCGTGCACAGGGGTGGATGCATGGAAGTGGGTGGGTGCATGGGGGGGGCTGTTGTTAGAAAACGGTAGAGTGAAAAACTATAGAGGGGGTGATACAGGGTTACATACCTAGGGAGCCAATCCTAGGTCAAGGGGGGGTTTGACCAATCCAAACATTATTGGTTGGACCACCAATGATTGAGGAGCCAATAATGTTGGGGGAAGACCAAGAAGACAGATCACCTCGATAGTTGGGGTCAAGGGTTGGTTGAATATCCAACCCCAACTTTCATCGACACCCTTAGATAACCCAACTTGGTTATACATGCCCAAAGATGAAGAGAAAGAGAATGTTATATTCTAACAGATGCATGGGCGGGAATGCATGGGGGCGATGCATTGGCGGGAATGCATGGGGGGGGATGCTGTTACACATAGGCTGCAATTCGGTTGGTTCAACTTTGTGTGTTGGCACTTTGTTGGTTTTAGGGATACGCACATTTGTTAGGTTGGGTGTAGCTATGTTTTCATCCCCAACCTATCCCAACCCAATCCATCCCAAATCCCCACGATTTGGGTTGGGAGGATTCCCTTGGGATTCCCTCCGATTCTCCCTTATCCCTTCCAATCCTCTCCGATGCTTGGTACTTAAGGATGTATGCTCTTGCTCATTTCAATCAATCAAGTTCTGATAGATGCATGGGGAGGGATGCATGTGGGGGGATGCATGGGGGGGGATGCTTGGGGGGGATGCATGGGCATGGGGGGGGGTTGCATTGGGGGGTGCATTCGGTGAAGTGCATGGGGGGGGGGGATGCATTGAGGGGGTGGGGTGCTTGGGGGGGGTGCTTGGAGGGGGGTGCATGGGGGTGGATGCATGGGCTGGATGCATGGGGGGGGATGCATTGGGGGGGATGCAGGGGGAGGGATGCAGGGGGGGATTCATGGAGGAGATGCACGGGGCGAGATGCATGGGTGGGGATGCATGAGTGGGGATGCATTGGGGGGCATGCATGGGGGGTGTGCATGGGGGGAGATGCATGGGGGGGTATGCATGGGGGGGAATGAATTGGGGGGGATGCAAGGGGGGGGATGCATTGGGGGGGATGCATTGGGGGGGGATGCATGGGGGGGGGTTTAGGGGGGGGATGCATGGGGGGGATGCATGGGGGGGGTGTCCAGGGAGGGGGGGGGAATACATGGGGGGGAATGTATACAGGGAATGCATGGGGGTTTGCATGGGGGGACATGCATGGGGGGGGATGCATGGGTGGGGGATGCATGGGGGGGATGCATGGGTGGGGGGTGCATGGAGGGGGATGCATGGGGAGGGATGCATGCAGGGTAATGCATGGGGGGGATGCATGGGGGGAGAGGCATGGGGTGGGATGCATGGGGGGGGGGATGCATGCAGTGGGATGCATGGGGGGGGGGATGCATGCAGTGGGATGCATGGGGGGAGTGCATAGGGGGGGATGCATGGGGGAGGATGCATGTGAGGGGGCTGCAAGTTGAAGGGTGCATGGGGGGGTGCATAGAGGGGGGATGCATGGAGCGGGATGCATGGGGGGGAATGCATGGGGGGAATGCATGGGGGGGGAATGCATGGGGGAATTTGCATTGGGGAGGATGCATGTGGGGGGATGCATGGGGTGGGGAGGGGTGCATGGGGGGGAGATTCATGGGGGGGGTGCATGGGTGGGGGATGCATGGGGGGGATGCATGGGTGGGGGATGCATGGGGAGGGATGCAAGCGGGGTAATGCATGTGGGGGGATGCATGGGGGGATGGGTGCGTGGGATGCATTGGGATTGGATGCATCCAGGGGGATGCATGCAGTGGGATGCATGGGGGGAGTGCGTAGGGGGGGATGCATGGGGGAGGATGCATGTGGGGGGGCCGCAAGGGGAAGGGTGCATAGGGGGGGGGGGGTGCATGGAGCGGGATGCGTGGGGGGAGGTGCAAGCAGGGGGATGCATGGGGAGGGAATGCATGGAGGGGGGATGCATGGGGAGGGGTGCATGGGGGGAGATTCATGGGGGGTGCATGAGGGGGGGCATGGGTGGGGGATGCATGGGGGGGAATGCATGGGAGGGAATGCATGGGGGGGTGGATGGATTGGGGGGGGTGCATGGGGGCATGCATGGGGGGGGATGCATGGGGGGATGCATGAAGGGGGATGCATGGGGGAGGGGATGCATGGGGGGGATGCATGGGGGGTTGCATGGGGGGGATGCATGGGGGAAGAATGCGTGGGGGTTCTGCTTGGGGGGTTTGACATGGGGCGGGATGCATGGGGGAGATGCATGGGCCATGGAGGGGGGATGCATGGGGGGGATGCATGGGAGGGGGATGCATGGGGGAAGAATGCGTGGGGTTTTGCTTGGGGGGTTGGCATGGGGGGAATGCATGGGGGGGATGCATGGGGGGGGTTGTATGGGGGGGGATGCATGGGGGGGATGCATGGGGGGTTGTATGGGGGGGATGCATGGGGGGGATGCATGCAAAGCCCGCAAGGGGCGCGCAGGGAAAGCCTTCGAGGGGGGCGTGTATGGAAAGCCCTTTATTGTTCATGGCCTTCTTATCCTCCTTCTATGGCTCCTGTCATTGCCATCCCCAATCCTCCGTTTCTCCATTCCCTTTTCCCCCCCCTTCCCTCCTCCCCCCCCCTTTCCCCCCCCTCCTTCCTTCCTTTCTTCCTACCTAACATCATCTTGCCAGCTCAAGCAGCACTATCGCAGTACGCAGACGTAAAATGGATCGAGTTTTTCTTCGATGGTGGATTCGTTTGGAGGGTGGGATGATAAGGTAGGATGTCCCTCTTCGCGTTCCCCTCCTCCCTCCCGTTCCCATCTCCTCTCCTCTCCCCTCCCTCCCCTCCCCTCCCCTCCCCCCCCCCCACTCCTCTCCCCGCCCCCTCATCCCCTCTCTGTTAACCACTGTTCTGCTGCTATCTCCTCTTGCATCTCCTCCCGTGTGTGTATTCATAACCCCTCTGGTGTTGCTTTCCGGCGTCTTGCCTAACATCCGAGCCATCTCCCCAGCTACCATCTTGCGTCCCCTCCCCTTGTGCCTTTCAAATCCTGGTGTGTTTTGAGTCGACTCCAAGCGCATCTTGCCTATCATCCGAGCCATTCTTAGCAGCTGCCGTCTCGCGTCACCCCCCTGCTGTCTTTCATCACCTCTGCGGTGTTCCTCTCGCCTCACATCTGACCCTCTATCTGCTCCCCTTGTCCCTCCATCCGTGCCCTTGCTGCGGCGTGTACAGGGAATGGAGAAGAAGTTCAGGTGGAGTCTAGGGCAGTATGTGGCCATCTTGACTCGACTCGTCCCACAAGTTCTCCCTTTCCCGACCCCCCTTGTCTTTCCATCCTCTATCCTGGTGTTTCCTTGCTGCGTGTAAAGGGAATGGAGAAGAAGTTCAGGTGGAGGCTAAGGCAGTATATGGGCACGTCGTGCTGCGTGAATGCACAGCCAGGTAAGTTTCAAGAGCAAGTGCCTTATTCCTCCTGCCCTGTCTGTTTCTGTCATGTCGCATCTGCTACTTGTCTTGTACGTTAAGATTCCGGGGATACAACCACCTGATGGCTCAGCAAACCTTAACCCTGACACCCCCCCTTTCCCATCTGTTCCCCCAGGTTTCGTCTGGTGCGATTGTCTCAACGGTGAGATGCCGGGTTGGAAGCCACGGCGACCTCCAGCAAACTGGTCCAAGGGCGGCTCTCTTTTTGTAGGGGAAGGACCTTTTCCCCACTTTTCCCCATGCGTCTCTCCCCCCTTCAGGTCACATCTGGTAGTTTTCTTCAACGATGAGATGCTGGGGTGGAAGCTACAGCCCTCGGGCCGCAGCTCCCATGATATCACCTTGCTGTCTCCTGTCCTGCCTGTCTCACCCCGGGTCACATCTCGTACGATTCCTTCAACGATGACATCCCGGGGTGGTAGCCACAATCACCAGCCAACTGGACGGAGGAGGGCGTCCTCTAGAGGCAGGCCCTCAGACACCCACTTTTCCCCATGCGTTCCCCCTCCCTCGTCCCTCTCTTCCCCAGGCCATATCTGGTATGATTTCTTTAACGATGAGATCCCAGGGTGGAAGCCACGGCCACCTGCCAATTGGACAGAGGACCACCCGCCATGGGGCAAGGACCAGCCCGGTGCCTCATGGGTAGCGCGGGCCCTGTGGCGGTGGTTCTCATGAGGTGGTTCTCATGAGGTGGCTCTCATGAGTGGCTCTCATGAGGTGGCTCTAATGCTACATGGAGTGGACTGGCTAATTGGACAGAGGACCGTCTGCCACAGGACCAACCCGGTGGGTTATGACTAGCACAGGCGGTCTGGCGGTTGCTTTCTTGAGAAGCCTCAAGTGACACGCAAGGGGGGGAACCAGCCGACCTGCCAGAGGACCACCTGCCTTTGGGCAAGGACCAACTGGTGCCTGATGGCTGCCCTCGGCACTAGGGCAGTCGTTTCTCCAAGGGGCCATGATTTCGTCTTAGGGAGAAAGCCTAACGGACAGAACGCACCTATCTTTAGGCTCAGATGAACCGGTACCGTGATCATCCGGATAATCGAATCTGCTGTTGCCACGCAATGGTGACACCAGCTGGGGTGACCTGCTGTCAACCACCTTCGAAGAACTTCAACCCGCAAAACCAACTCCAAGGATGATTCACGAATGTCTGTTGGCAAACGGTAACCATTTGTAACTGTGCATGTAAGCCGTTGGATCAGGGCTGTCGTTTAAAAAAAAAAGCACCCTGAGCTGTCGAATGGGAAAAAAAAATTACCCTGAGGGCCTTGTGCTGGAATTTTAGCTTCCCTGATTTCTCAGTGTTCTGGAACTTACAACCCTAAAACCTCCAGGGTTGGCTAGCCACAAACAGGGTTGCATTGCTGAGCAACAAACGCGTTCAGGGTTACTTTCAACAGAGGGGGGAATAAAAAATGGGGGAAAAAGGGGAGGGAATCAAG